AGCAATCCCTCAACTTAGGACAGAGATATAGGGGACAAATCCAAAGGTCTGGATTTCTGACCTGGGGAATCCATTCTTGATAACTGAGAACCAGAAAGGCAGAGATGCCTAAATGGGGATAGGTGCAGGATCTTGGATAAAGGGTGGGAATAAGTCCAGAGATAGTAACAGTTATTATCCAGAGGTCCAGAGACCTGGAGATCTGGAAGACAAGGTAGAAACAGGACTGAGATATGTGAGGGAGTAGATGTAGTCTAGAATCCAAGAGGAGATAAAGTCTAGATGTCTTGCTGAATGGAATGTGCATAGGGTGAACAGGATAGTGGTATATGGATCAGGCTAGTAGTGAGGATCCAGAGGTCCGGAGCTCAGGGGTAATTCCATAGCAGAGCTAATCCCACTGAGGTGTGGAGCACACAGTGAAAGAGGATCTGGGAATGAGTTAGATCTGGGGTCTGGATACAGGCTTGGCAGGCATAGAAATATTATGGGATCTAGGTCCGGCAGATAGGATATGATATCTGGTAACTTAATATCCACAGCTTCACATTGCAACATGGGCACTGAAAGCTGGGAACAATCATCTGAATGCCATGACATGCCACTTTGAATAGCTGAGTCAAATTAACTACAAGAGAAACATTTTGATATGTGTTAATACACATTCAGATACTGAGACTGGAAATCTTGTCATAGCTGGGAATAACAAGAATCCATAATCACTGTCTATTCACAAGGTCAGTCACTGTGGTATATGTCCAAGTTATTGTCAATAGCTCAAACTTATTGCAAAGCTTCTTCATAATTACATCAGAGATGAGAATCTGTGGCCAGCAACTTAGCAATTTCTGTAATCAATATGAACCAGGGAGCTGGTCCATGTATTTATGGGCTTGTCATATGTTCCTGTGGTTCAACTGGGAGGATTGACAAAAGCACTCAGTTGTTAAGACACATGATTAAAGAGTGAGTTTGGTCATTGCACCAGTCTAACCACATTCAGTAATACTATTTCTCAGAGACATATTTGACTTTTTTCTCACCTTTGCTGGCATATCCACTTTGGATGTGGTTGTTGTCCCTGCTTTAAATTGATTTGTGGAAAACATCTATGTATATGACATGAAGATATGGGATGCACTGGAGGAGTCATTTGGGGAGGACAGACATGCACTCAACCACTCACTGGTGCTGCTGTCATTTGCAGATATACAAATGGATGTACATAACAAGCAACAGCATGTCATCAATACCAGGGTATTTGTGTACTTGAACCTTCAAGACAGGAGGCCCTGGGGCCTCAACATCTTCTGATGCTTCAATATGGAGTGCAGGGCCCCAGTATACAACATAATATTCCATCTGCATGAAAAGCAGCATTATGGGAAGCACTGGGTGGAGATTAAGATCAAATATATGTGTCTTAAACACAACACAATGCAAAAGGATATCTCCTGTCCACCTTGGATCCACAGAGCTTGATCTCAGAACTATGGGTATGTCTGGTACCAATGGCCACTGACTCCAGCACAATAATGTGATATTGTTATCATATCATAACCATCCATTTATGTCACAAATTCCTAATTTGGGTTCCAGTGCCTTTTAAGGTATTTCAACATTCAAAGACCAAACATAAATTGAAAGTGCTTATAATAGCAGAGTTGCAATTGAATTGTAATGATAATTGCAATGTTTTATTTGTAATTTTGATATTCTAGTACTAATATTAATACAAATGGTAGTGGTATGCATTTGAATACATCCATAGTATATACTCCTACTCCTGCTCCTCTGCATCCCCAAGCATCCATATCAGTCATCTGACCCCTTCCCCACCTTCTCCCTGTCTTGGTTGCAGCATGCACACATTTGCACCATGTCAGCATTTGCTGATGTGCACTGGCCATGCACTTGGCTCTAGGGGTCATTGGCATGGCTAATGGTAGTTGTTGTCACTGTTGTCCTTGTCCTTGTCCTTGTCCTTGTCGTCATTGTCATTGTTATCATCATTGTGGTCGCCATCCTTGTCATGGTCTTGGTTGTCATTGTGGTTATTGTTGTCATCAGTCCAAGGTTCAGGTGTCATTGGGCTAAGATGATGGAAGCAGAAGAATTCTGAATCAGAGTTTGCTGGGAGGACATGGTTCAAGTTGTATTAGTGCTAGAGGCTGTGGTTGGATGAAGGAAGGGTTCTGGAGGATGCAGTTTGATGTGGTCATGTGCTGGAGGGTGCAAGCAGGCATTTGAATTAAGAGGGAGTTGGGGGGCATTTATTAATTAAGAGACAGTATTAAGCAAGCATGAAAACAATACAATAAATGAGACATACCTGGATATTCTTGTGAAGGTCACCAACAGCCCTCTGGGCCACATCATGTGGCTGATGATATTGACAAAGCTGAAACCCTTGCTGATTATTGATTGCCTTCATCATTGACCTGGATGATTGCAGAATTAAAGTCATGCTACCATATTGGTTGAAGAGCTCCTTGAACTTTGACTCCTGGGTGACCCTGATTCAGAGGTCAAGATCCTTAATATACAAATTGGTGAATTGGGCCTTCTTTTTGTCAATCTTGGATCAATGTTCCTATTTTCATAGGAACAGGAGGGGATTAAGTATGAGACCACATGTTCTGACAATTAATGCAATAAACCTTCAATTCATTGACAGAGAGATGGGGTGACCAATTCCATACACCTTCTTGTTGTTGTTCAACAGCATACTGCTGAACTAATATTAAGCCTAAGCTTTTAATTGATGGTAGTATCTGAATCTGAATCAGCAGTCTCATAATGAACAAAACCATAGCCCTTCAAGGTAGAAAAATAATAAGACTTGCCCTGGACAGTCCTAGTGTTTAATTGATTCTGATTCTGAATCTTCACTAGATATTCAAGATTGGTCAAGATAAAGACTATTAGTACCTGTCAGCAAAGAAAGATAATTCAGGAAGAGAGTTTGTGTGAGGAGTCCATCAATTCCAGAGGATGATTGATTTGACAGTCAAATTTCTGAACTGTCACATAGTTGCAACTGTAACTGTATGTGATTGTGAAATGTTGCAACCTCATTGTTATGTAAGCATCTGAATCCAAATCTTGCACCTTAGTGCTGCTGCAGCTCTCATAATAAGATTTTAACAAGCTCAATAGATGAACAACACCAAACAGCACCAATTTAAAGTAAGGATCACTAATTGTCAATGTAACTAGTATCTATGCCTTATTGGAATGTCTGTGATGAACATCCTGAGGTGTAGCTATTGACTGAATCTTCCCTCTCTTTGCCTTCCCTCAGCCCCTGCCTATTATATCATCATCAGCTTCATCTAATATATTGCTGGTGACTGCTTTGACACTAGTACATCAAGCAGCAGCTTGAGATGTTGATCCTTGTTCCACAGGCTAGATGATAGAACCTGGATCTTCAGGTGCTGCTGACGAGACTAATAGTGCTGATGATGAGACTGGTACTGACAATGAGACCAGTGCTGACAATGGGACTAGTGCTGATAAGGCTAGTTGAGCCTCATCTGCTTTGCTGTCTAATAACATGTCAAGTGCAAGTATAACTCTATTGATTTCCTCTAAAAGTCTTCACTACCAGTCGGATTAAGGGTGGACAACTTTGCAGCACCAAAAATGTAGCTGTTGATACTGGCTACAATACTCTCAATGTGTTTTGTGTACCACTTGATGATGAGCATCTTCTTGTACTGAAGGAATATGTCTTTGTAGTTGATAGTCAATGATTTCCCCACTCCTGAACCCAGAAACTCTGTGTCAGGTGAGAGTAGAAAGATTGCCTGCATTAAAACATATCATTAGAGATGTTTGATATAATATAAATAACATATAATTACTGCCACCCATGTGATAGACCCTGGTGTGACTTGTTGAAAACTCCACTTCCAAGCATTAGTCTTCAATCCACCACAAGGCTCTTGATGAAGTGAGGTGACACCATTGAAGGTTCAACTACTCTGCTGGCTTGCAGAGCAGCAGAAAGAAAGAGGGCTCTCACTCTGGGGTAAGAGAAAGCCTCTAACTCTCTAAGTGTTGGTCAAAGTGTGCCAAGTGATACATTTGACCCTTAGGGGAAGCAAGGAAAGCAAAGATCCATGGGGTGACACCAGGTCAACTCTGGCAAAGTGCAATGAAAGTGTCCACAGGAATATAGAGTGCATAGGAGTGCAAAGCATGGGAATAAGGCACAAGCAGTGTGCAAACATATAAGAAACTGGTAGAAGGTGTGAAGATGTGGACTGAGGCTGCTGAATGGTGACTGATGGTAATAGACTGCTGCTGAGGACTAGGGCAGTGATTGATGCATACTGACTGAAGATGATAGATTCTGACTCTAGATACTAACTGACATGATGGTAGATGATGGTTGTGGTGGTAGCTAGTGGTAGTGGTTACTAACCAAAAAAACTTCCTAGGCAACAGGTAAGCTGTGCCTAGGCGCACTCCCAGGGCTTGGAAGCAAACAGGGAGTGCTCTATGTATGCAAGTGAGGTAAAGTAAGGGTCCATGATGAAATAAAATATCATATGATACCAGAAATAGTCTAATATCAAGAATAAATGAAAAGGGACACACCAGGGAACTGGTTGGATGATGGATGGAGGCTCTATGATGCTGTATGACAGTGTAACCAAGCACAGGAAGAGCATGTAAGTTGCTACATAATGGATGCCATGAAAACACACACATTCCTCATTGGTACTTGTTCACTGACTATCACGATTTGGCCTCTCACCAAGAAGTGACTATGGTGGTGCAGTCCTTGTATATATAGCATACTATGTAGTCAGTACTACAACATGAGTACACTAGGCTGTCACAGTATTGAATGACAGTCATTATTTCCTTTTTGGATGAGATGCAAATCAATGTCATGGAATTTGATGACTTATGTCAGTCAAGTCATGAAAGTCTGTAGGGAACAAATGTGGCAACCACACAAGGTGATCCTTTGTCTTTTTTGTATCTCATAATAGCTTTCTAAATGGTTTTAAGCAAATTGCAAGCTCTGATCTGTCTATAAGCTCTCCTGGGTGTGTTAGACTCTGACAGCCTTGAGTCTTATCAGGCCCCTTGACATATACTGAAACTGTGGTTTTGATGTCTGTCCAAAAATGCTTGACAATCACATTACAAATTGTGATTGCAGGTGCAGTGGTTGACCATTGGAGGGATTTCTTCTTGTTGCTGCCAGCAGCAACATATTTATAAGAGTCTATGACCATCATGCAGAGCGTGATGAGAGGCCTTGTGAATAGCCCTTGAAATAGAGTTAAAAGGATTGACACTGACGATATGTTTACTTACTGGTGTGAGAAGATGCTCATGGTAGATGAAGGACCATTTGATGAAGTGTGTCAAGAGAGTGTTCATGCAATTGGTTTGTGAGGTATTTTCCATTCCTTGTATCGAGATGGTAGGATAACTCTATCTCATGCAAGAATTCATAGTTGAAACAGTGAGCTCCTTTGCAAAATGCAGCATGTGGTGTAAAAACTGCATGGTATTGTCCTGGTGGTTGTATCCTCATAGAGGTAAGTCAACACTGATAAATGTATCAGTGATTGACTCACAACATATCACCCTCCTCAAGAGTAACTACCTCTATATTCCAGTTGGCCTTGATCTTGTTGGGTTTTATGGGGATGTTCATCAACTCTAGAGAATGTTCTAAGAATTTGGTCCACAAAAGTTTTGGATTTTTTGGAAAAGCCAGAATCCACATTTTTTTCCCCAGTACTGACTGAACAAAAGTCACACCTCTGTCTGAGTCATGGTGAAAATTCATCAGGATGGCAAGGTGATGGGCCAAAGCCCACCCATTGATGAGAAAATTATTGGGATGGACTGGATTGACGATGGGATACTTGGCTGTGGTTTGATTCCACCCATGAACAATGCCATGATTGAGTAGTCTAATGAAATCAAGGGTTAAAGGAATGGTTTAGGACACTGGACATTTACTCACTGCGAGTGTTCTGGGATACCCATTCCTGTATATGGAAGGTCAAGGATGAACTGTATCTTATTTGGGTCATCTAAGTTGAGGATGAACTCTTTGATCATTCCCTCAACTTGGGGGTATGTAAAATCCCTAGTGCACACTTTGACGTCTGTTGGACTGTGTAAGATTGATGGGGGGAGATGTGCCTAAAAAGACTGACCATGTATAGTGACATGCATAAACCACGAGAAACCGCAATTTTCAAGGTAGTCTACATCAAGCTTTGCCACCTGAGATTTTTCAACTCCCCGAATCACCATGCATTTTCCTTCATGCAGAGTTTTCACAATGAGATTGTGTAGCTTGTCTGGTCTAGAGGACCAATTGTGATGATGTATATGAATGATGTGCAACGATGACTGAGGGTCAGATTCTGGAAGCTGGGATAAACACCAGACTGTATCAGTGTCTCCCTGGCAAATGTTTTTGCCATCCTTCCAGATACATGGTAGTATAGTGGTGAACCCACTGGACCATTTGACAGTATCCAAAAATGAAGACATGTGAACCCCTATGACATTGGTCACAAGGTCTTTGGAGTCATCAGGTAAGTCTCTGGGTGGTGTGAAACAGGTGGAGGGTGCTGGAGCATTGTTTGAAGAGGTAGTGGGATTGATGCATGAACATTCTGTCATGACCTCGACATTGCAGGTCACAGGGGGAGGTTCTGTGGTCACAGAGATGTTGCTAAACTGGTGTGACAGTACAGCCTGGACTGGTGTGTGACCAAGAGTGATGTCAGATGGACCTGGAACAGCTGTAGAATTTTGTGTGTTTGAGGGACCAGCAGTGTTGGGTGTGTCATCAGATGGACCTTCCATGACACTTGGAGAATTGGACACTGGCACATGGGAGTCTGAAGGACCTGCTTCAGGTGCTGCAACACAGTGGCACTTTGCAGGAGGCTCTGCGATGGACTGTTCAAGCTTCAGCTTCACGCATGAACATCGCTTGTACTCATTTTGCAGTTGCCTGAGATGCTCATTTTCAGTGGGGTCAGACTTCTTCTCCTCATGCCATTTTCATTTGTACATGGCATCCTTAGCCTTTGGGGAGAGTTGAAATAATTTGGGATGCTTAGCTTGACATGGCATTGTATGTCTATGTCAACACAGAATTACTGAGTTGAGATATGGTTGCTCAAAGGTACAAGTGGTGCAGTTCAAGTTAGTGGGGTAGCACCAATTTAAGTGTTAGTGTAGGATGGCCACATATTATATAATGTGGACTTAGATTGTTGGTCTCTCTGTAAGTCAGTCAGTCAGATTAACACACTGACTCAAATTTGCACATAAGACAATTTGTACAGACATATTTGATGACATTATCAGATGTAGCACAATACTTAATAGTAAGGTAGATCAAGTTGTGTGGATTCATATGCATTGGGAATCTTCTTGTGATCAGAGGACAATAGGGGTTTGAGATCAGAGTGTGTGAGTTCTATACAATATTTTGAGTTTAATAGGTGTGTTTTCCAATCTTCATTACAACAACAGGCCTAATCAGTCAGGTCAGTCATGTCAGGCAGGATGATATCCAAGAATGTTGTAATTTATCGTCCCTCTTCAAGCTTTGGGACACCAGGAATATCATCCATTGCCTTCATCATCATGATCTCATTCAGGACATCTACATCATCTACATCCCAAAGGACCCAGTGGTCCTTGATGACAAATCCCTGGCCATCCGAAGTCCTCCTAGCTTGGTAGCAGACAGTGCCTCGACCAACGAGACTAGTACTTGAGAACATGACCTTCAAAATATCATACTTGTTGTTGTTGACCTGGATCTTTCCAAGTGGCTCTTGACTCAGGGGATGATAAGGCTCCACAAGAAGGGTGGTGGTGCTTGCAGTGGCAGGCAGTGGGTCTTTTATGGGAAGTTGGGCAGGAGTGGTCCTGGCATCAGGCCAAGCCTCCTCTGAACTGAGGGATGAAAGTGAGGGAAGTAGAGGAAGTGGGGAAGGTGGGCCTGAGTGCATAGTGTTGGCACCATCATCATTCAAAGCCTCATCTGACTCTGGCTCAGAGTTGGATCTACTAGATGATGACTTAGACTGGTCAGAGTTGGGTGTAGGAGACTTGTCATATCTGCATATCTGGATCTCAGATCCAATCCTTATCTCATCTCAGATCCAATCCACATCTTATCCCCCTCCAACATCTCATCATCCAATCTGTCCACTCATCCAGTCTGGTCCACAATTCATCTGAACCCACAATCAGCACTCATCTCCTTTCAGTAATCCCCTAACTCCAGTATTTCAGTTATTGATATATCTGTCCTGCTCACTGATCCATTACCTATGCTTCATTTCCATTTCATTATTTGTGATCCATTTCTACTTACCAATAGACTATCCATATGCCTCATACATAGCCTTGGACCCTGCTGATTGATCATTCCATTAGATACCTATAGTATATAACCTCCTGTAAATCTCTGTAACACCTCAGTTTGAATATCAACTTAGTTCTGCTCATTCCTGTCCTCCAGACCTGAGTATCTCTACTCTTGATACCCTCTGAGACTTAGGATTGATTCCTATAGTCTATCTGTATCTGCCTCTGTCTACAACAGTCCACTACCATTAGTTTCTAGTCTGGACTTGTCTGGATTAGCCCTACAATACTTATCTTGCATCCAGAAGTCATCTGGATCCACTATGCTACTCGTCTGACCCTCCGGATGCATTAGTCTTGCCCTTCTAAAATAAGGGGCAATACTTGGGTAAGGGGCACAGTGCATGAGTTGAGGCTGAAGCCCTTAGGATCCATTAGCCCTTGAGTATGACCTTAACAATATCGCAGGTATATACAGTGGCTCAAAAAACTGTCCGCATGTTTTGACATTTTTCACTATCTATGATATTGTGTGAGAATGAACAAATGCCTCAAGGACATGCTTATAGCACATTGTAGTATGGCTTCAGGGCTTTCATTTGAGCCTTACACCATGGGAATCGGTGGAGATATGGTGGAGATACAAGGCTCACAAAATGGTGACTCATGTGGACAGTTTTTTGACTCAAGTATTTTACAATAATAACCAGGTATTCTAGTATTTTGTATGACCTCCCTTGGCTTTAATTACTGCCTCTATCCTTCTAGGCATACTCTCAATTAATTTCTGGCAATCCTCAGCTGTGATCTTCCCCCATTCCACTGCTACTCTCTCCCAAAGCTCCCATACTCCTTTAGGGGGGTTTTCATAGGCTTGAAGCTTTTTCTTGAGTGTTCCCCAGAGATGTTCAATGACATTGACATCAGGAGACTGTGCTGGCCAGTCAAGAACATTGATGTTATGTTCTTCAAACCATTCCTTAGCTCTTCTGGATGTGTGCTTTGGATCATTATCCTGTTGGAAAATGATATCTTCTTCATCAATCCCTGATTCTGCCAAGCTAGGCAGCAAGTGGTCATTTAAAATGTCCACATACTGCTCAGCATTCATCTTCCCCTCAACCTCAGCAAGTGTTCCCACACCATTCCATCCCATACAGCCCCATACCATTAAAGAACCTCCTCCAAACTTGACAGTCCCATTAACCTCTCTGTCTGTTAGGCCATCTCCCTTCTTTTTCCATACATATACCTTCCCATCTGACCCAATCCTATTGATTTTGGTCTCATCTGACCATATAACATGCTTCCAGTCCTCTACAGTCCAGTGTTGATGAGCTAAGGCAAAGGCTAGTCTTCTCTGCCTATGTTTGATGGAGAGAAGGGGCTTTTTCTTCTTTGTTACTGCCTTGAGATGAGCTGCCTTGAGAACATTCCTCACAGTTTGTAAAGAGACAGGGGTAGTGATGGTGGAATTGATATAATGGGTGGCTTGGACAGCATTATCAGCCTTTCCTGTAGTGATATGTTGGATAATAGCCCTTTTGTCAGTAGAGGTAAGCTTGGATGGACGTCCTCCACAAGAGTTTTCCTTGTCTGGGTGGCTTTCTTTGATAAACTTGGCCACAGTGGACTTGCATACTCCAGTTCTAGAGGAAATTTGGCAAGCAGAGAGGCCAGCATAAGACAGAGAGGATATTATCTCTTTGAGCTGAGGAGATGGCTTTCATGGTGATTATGACTATGATACATGAGATATTCTGGTTTATATAGTTAGATATAGTCATAAAATAACATAATGACACCACTTCATAATTTATATAATAGTGGCATGATTTTTGTGGTATCATAAATAATGATTTATATAGTTTTAATATACACTCAAAAAACTGTCCACATGAGTCATCATTTTATAAGCCTTATGTCTCCACCATATCTCCACCGATTCCCACGGTGTAGGGCTCAAATGAAAGCCCTGAAGCCATACTACAATGTGCTATAAGCATGTCCTTGAGGCATTTGTTCGTTCTCACACAATATCATAGATAGTGAAAAATGTCAAAACATGTGGACAGTTTTTTGAGCCACTGTATGGTAGATGAGAGGGTGCCTCCCTTCTGTAAATATGTCTCCTTTTAATGACAAACTTTAAGTATCAAACCATCTCATTCAAAGGCCAACATCCCATCCTCTAAGCTCTTTCACCATGGCATATAATCATTCACCACAACAACTTGACAGTGTTACTGACCCTGTAGGTCACTGCCTCGAGAGCATATATCCCATCTGTCTTGTAAATTCCATGTCTGTCATATGCCATTCCAGACTCTCAACTCTAAATCCGCTTCTCTGGATATCCGGATCTGAGATCCAGATCTCAAATGATCTGATCTATCTTTATCTCCCTTCTGGAATCCAAACCCTATATCAGCACCCAACCCCATTTAGACTGCCCCTGTCTCCAGACTCTGGTTAACCATGTTTCCCTTTTGATTATTGATCTGTTACATACATTTCATTTCCAGTGTTCATTATTTGTGATCCATCCTACTTACTAATAGACTTTGCATATGCTTCATACATAGCCTTTATGTTTGCTGACTGATTCCTATATGATACCTACAGTATATAAACCTCCTGTAACTCTCAGAAATACTGCAGTTCAAATATCATCTTAGTTCCTGCTCATTCCTGTGTCCTCCAGACTCAAGATAATTCTCTTGTCATATTCTGAGTCTTAGGATTGCATCCTAGACTACATTTCCAACTCTACCTTAAGGTAGTCCATCCTCCATTAGTTTCTAGTCTGGACTTCATCCAGATTAGTCTTATCTGCTTGCCCAGGTAACATCCGGACGTCCATCGGATTTATCTCACATTTCAGATCTGGACGTCCATTGTCCACCCTAGTCAAATCCTGGAAACTCAAGATGGCTGTTCTAGCCGCCGGAAATTAAGGGCACATACTCAGGAAAGGGGCACAGCATATGAGCTGAGGCCAAGCCCTTGTAATCTGACCCCCTTGAGCACGCGACCTTAACAATGTCAGCCTTCCTGTCATAGGACAAGTGCTCTCTGTCTGAGTTTTCTGCTTTTCCATCACTCAGGTTATCAGAACAAAATGCCAACTGTTTACGATCACATTCATTTCAATGCCCAATGTGCCCTCAGCCATTGAGTCCCATAATGAGAATATAACCTAGTTGTTTGTGTGACTACATCAGCAAAACCCTAACCCTATGTGCAGCGCTGCACAATGCTGCACAGCAATCACAGTGTCACAGCAAGGTCCCCCCATGTACAGTGCTGTACAGTGCTGCACACTACACAATTTCTCTATAAAACATAATTATTAGCACACCATCTTGTTATATACATGTTTGTGACTACATTACACTCATTTTTACATAGAATCAATACTTGTGTGGTGCTGCAGAGCCTTTACAACAAAATCTATGTGACCTGTGACACGCTGTGTGGGTTTTGCTGATGTATATCAAAGATAGTATACTCAGTCACACACTCAAGAGAGAAACAACACCTGATCATTACCTATATGAAAGATAGTATACTGTAGGTAATCAGCATAAGTACCAGCATAAATAACAAAAGGGTAAACTAACCTCAGTCATGCACTCAAGAGAGAAACAACGCCTGAGGTACAGGACATGTATCATAGGAGATTATATACAATGACAGGGGGAATTGGGTAAGTCAATGTCACACTGTGCGCATATCTAGACAGCTGACAGGCAGGCACTAGAATTTGAAGAATGTATCAAAGTAATCAGAGTTGAAGCAAATACAAGTGAAACATATAATGGAGAGATGGCAGCCAAACGACTTGCCAATTTCAACATCCCATTCCAAAGCCATTAAGGTTTATCTCAAAGCTGTTCTTGAAGCCAGCTCTAGTTCAGCTGGCAAGGTCATTAAGACTATGGTGTGTTGCTTTTTCACCGAGACAGCCATCTCCGAGTCGGTGATGCATTTCATACTAAGGTGCCCCTGCCAAACAAACACATGGAGGACTTTCCAACGTCAACAAAATTATGAAGAGTTCTCTAGCGGTTCGGAACACAAGCCAGCACGTTCAGCCGTTGAAGTTGCTTGACTTCCGAAAGATGTTTTGTTTGAGATCGAGTGCATAGCAGGGTGGTCTCTCATGCTATGAACACTTTCTAGTTTACTAAAAGGCACCATTTATCTTCAATACTAGTAGCAAATAAGTGACTCACGGCTCTTTATGACGAGTAGCGTGAATTGATATGTAGAAAGAAGGCTGGGATCATTATAACATCGTGATTGTCGGCACACGTGCGGCGGCAGAAACTCACGCGATACACCTTCACTTCGAAGAGCATCAGTTTCGGAAGATTTAGAAATAGGAATGATACTTCAATGTTGGATGTGTTCTGAGATGCTACCTACTTACAAAAGATCAGAATGTCATATCTTTCAATGAATCTGGGGTGGGACTGACCTTCTGATTGCGCTAATTTGGACGCAGGACAGTATGGGAGATCCTTGCACTTTTTTTACCGTAGTTCGCTGTAAAGTAGAACACGTTTGTGACATGCGATGCCTCGGGCCACTGTAAACACTCTGAGAGTCTGGGCAGGATCGACCATCGGGGATTGTTGATATATCTGAAGCGCTTTTGGAGTATAGTGACCATGAGATCAACATAAGTGTACGAGGACAACGCATGCAACGAAGGATGACAATAGTAACGAGATACCAGGGAACAAATTTTAAATTAGTTAGAAACAGAAACGAAATCGGCCGTTTCCATGTCGTCCAGCATTCACGATCCTCGACGTGAGCCGTGATTGGGGGAATGAGCAGGGGAAACATAGTCTTCCGAGTCATCACGTATCAGGCTATCATCATCGCAAGGAGCACCCGTTGCAGCATACCGCTATACATAGATGCATGAGATTTGGAATACGACGAGAAAAATGAGATGCGTATACCAGTTGACCTGGCGCGAGAGGAACATCTACGATAGCCAGCGGTGCACGACCCCTCTGAAAGGGCCACCAGGTTGATAGTTGATGTGATCGCGATGTGAGGGTTGCAGAAGTATTGATGGCAGAGGCTTGGGTAGTGGGTGGTGCCGGTGTGGGTTGAGCCTAGAAGAATGTAAGCTTAATATGTGATGGTGAAAGGCCCTACTCGCATTCTTGTCTGGCTGGATAAGTGGACGAGGTAGGGGGGATGTAGCTGGGAACTGCAAGGGAACCGTCGAGTCAGCTGGGAGGCAAACAGGTATAAGGAGCACACGTCTAGGGGATTACGAGGTTCATCAGTGCGAATAGGACGGAGTGTGTTCGTATAGGAGAAGGGAAAGAATTTGCGTAGAAAGTGAAAGAAAGCATGTGGGTCCCTTGTAGGCAAAGGTCGAGGGATAGAAGGCATGACAGGTATTATCATTGGATGAAGGGAGACGGGATGGCGTGTTGCATCGGGCTGTGATAGAGAACAGTGTGAAGTAGATGAATGAGAGAGCGGGACCACAAACGTTGAGTAAACCAGTGTGGCGTGAACATTCAGGTTGCCAGTTTGTAAGAATATAAGCATAAAAATGATGGATGTATGCGGGGAGTACATACACTAGGCTGCGGTTCCCTGCAAGCCCGACGCTAGCAAGGATGTTGGCTGGAATGTTGCATATGTGGATCTTCGTATCATCGCTAGACATATAAGCCAGTTGGTGTGAATCAGGTGAGAGGGCAAGGGTGCAGGGAGAAATGAGACAAGGAGCTGGCGAGACTCGAAGGCCCATAGCTTGATAGTGTCGTAGGAAGAGCTAGCGAGAAGAATACAATCAGATGAGAGTGCTATACCACTGATGGAAAAAGTGTGTTCGAAAGGGGCTCCGACAGTCTTGAGGGTCGACGCGTCAAACTCATAGATCGTGCTGGGTGAGTCACCTACAATAAAGGCGAATGCGGCTATGATGGTTTTAGTCCAGAAGACTGAGGAAGAAAAACCCCTGCCCTTAGGAGTAGATATTTGTACATCCGATGTCTGTGCTTGGACATCCCACACTTGAAGGAAGGGGCCCGAGTCCGAATTGACCATGATGACACCGCCAGCTTCCGAGAGTCTCCCGAGCATCCGTTGCGCTTGCAATTGTATAATGATCACTAATTTTGAATGGACCAACCACGAGTTTGCCTGTGTCAAAGCTCCATATCCGCACTGTAGAATAGATCGATTCACCCGCTAGCAGTGTGCTGTCCGGGGAGGTGATCCAAAGGCAACGGCTTGGTTCATTAAATGTTCTCACGATCCCCGTCTCGACTCTCAACCTCCCTGACTCTGAGCTCCTCCTTTGATACCCTCACTGTATTCCATTTTCGAAAACCTCCCAAGCCTCCTCAATTTCCTTGCCCTCCCGAATGTCCCATCGCCGAATGGTCCTATCGCCTGGTCCACCGATCATTTGGTTGCCGTAGGGGAAATAGGACACGGTCCAAATATATTTGTACTCGTGATGCCCACCATCCGGAGAGGAAAGAACATATGGTTTATGTCCCTCCAATTGGGTCATGACTGGTGTCAGAATCAATTTGTTTTCTGCTACAGCTGCATTGAGGTGGAAGTCATCACAGCTATATTCGCCAGACAGGTTGGCAAGTATATCGGTTAATGTTTGGTGGGTTCTTCTTGTACCCTGTAAGGCTACGCTTGATATTGAGTGATTTTCAAGTCTAAGTGTCGCACTTTGCCTGCTTAAGCCAGCCACCAGTTCATCCATGCGTGATGCTCGCATGGGCTTTCATCTTACCAGGATGCTAGCGAGGACGAAGGGTAATGATGGGTATATGGGCACACATCCCACCTCTATATTGATATCTGCCAAACGGCTGTGCATTGTACAGTATGTCTTTTTTATTCCTTTTTGCGTAATGCCTAGTACTCCAACCTACTCCCCAATCTACATGACACGCGCTCGAAGCTCCCTATGGCATGGTGCAACCATGTGTCGATGTTAACCCCCTGCTGCCATACATTCCCCGACGCTCATCAAGTCAAATTACTTATGTTTGGCATGAGCAGGAGCGTCAGTGCTGAGAACATTGTGGTAGAAAAATGGTCGACCAAAAAGGAATCGGCCCTTCAGTACGTATGGTAGGGGTGTAGAGAGATGCCAAACAGACTCAAATTAAACCAGATTTTCTTGAGTACCTTTACGCCTGTTAACTATCAATTTAAAAATACATGACCACTACAGGGAAAAGTAACGGTCATAGCTCGATCGACAAGTCTGTTTGACCACCTTTTGTTATCGTGTACATAAGGGCTTGAATGGCCTAATGGTGCCGATCGAGCATGTTGAAGCCATTGAGCGAAATCACCCTTCCACCGTTCTAACGCGCCCACACCTACCGCCTTTACAACAATGCAAAGTCTCTAGTTGTGGATGGCGGGTGTTTTGACCAAAGGCCGGTAGCAAGGTGTGGACTTGTGGTTTGCGAGGTGTTCGTTGAAATAGGGACGCAATGGTTAGTGGAACATTAGATTTTACTCCTCCGAATCTCCATCTCCAATTTCTCGACCTCCTTCGCGTTAACATGCAGACATTCAGCTCAAACGTCGATTCACCATCAGTCTCAGCTACCACTAGTGAGCCGCAGAAATCTGTAAGTGCTTGGTTTTGGAAGTATTGGCGTCTGAATATAACGATAACCATCTCCTTCAATAGCTGGATGTCATTACAGGCGATGACTTGGGCTTTGAAATAGTCACCTTAAACGTCGATTCACCATTGGTCTCAGCTACCACTGATGGGCCACGGAAACCTGTAAGTGCTTGGTTTTGGAGGTCTGCATCTGAATATAATAAATATCTACTTCAACAGTCAGATGTGATTGTAGGCGAAGACTTGTGCCTTCAACTCGTCAGGAACAGCGCTGGCCATTATCAGCCGCAACTCGTCGAAGAAAAGGCTGATATCGTTCAGTCCAACACTTCACGCACAAATTTTTCCTCGCTCATTTGGCGCTTGCCAACTGAAATTCTTTCCGAAATCTTCCTTTACTGTCTGCCCGAAGACGAGTATTTGGCGTATGCAGCAACACAGGCTCCTATGCTATTGACAAGAGTATGTCGCCGATGGAGGGAGGTTGCTGTGGGCTTGCCCATGTTATGGTGCAGGCTACAGTTGGAATTCTGGTACGAAGACTGGCAGGAGAGAGCTTTCCGACACGATGATTGGCAGACGAGAGCTTTCGGTTACGACTCCTGGCTCAAGCGATCAAGAGGATATCCGCTCTCGTTAAGACTCGAGTGTGGCACTGACTGGAGCGAGTTACAAAGTCTTCTCCAGCCATACGTTCAGCAAATCTCGTCTCTCTCGCTTGACTTTCTATCCTGCGATGGCCCATTCATGATGGAAGACTTCCACGCACTGAAGGAGCTCACTATCTGCAAATACATTTTGGATGATCCTGCGCGAGCTATCAACGGTACTCTCTCGACATTGCCAGTTAATCTGCGCAGGATTAACATGGAGAATGTGTGGTTCAACCGCAAGCGATTAGATTCCTTCACTGCTTCCCCATGGGCCCACCTCACACATATGGAGATCAGCTTACATGGAATAAATGCTTTCACCCGCATACTCCATCTATGTCCCGATCTCTGTTCCCTGACAGTGATTGGAATATTCTGCCCCATTCAGACTCTGGAATCAGTCGCGCACACCAACCTTCAATCCTTATCCATGTCTTGGAGCGTATTTCGGAACACAAGCGAGGATATTGGTCTATTCGATGTTATCACACTCCCGAACCTTCGCGTGCTTGAAGCTCGCTATACGGGGCGGTGGCCACATGAATCGTTCATGAAATTTTTGACGCGGTCAGAATATTCCCTGGAGAGGCTGGTTTTCGACAGTGCAGTGTGGACAACAACACGGGAACGAGCAGAATACGCTACCCTTGTTCCTTCGTTCGAATTCATTGCAGATACTGAAAGCAACTTTGATGTCGATGAAGAATAGAAGAAAGTACGCGCTTTAGTACACCTTACCTTACATAGCGATAGTTACACCATACGATACGAGAAGAGCAGTCACCTCATCTTCGATTGGATGGAGCGTCTAAAACGGCCGGCAGGAACGGCGGACTGGTGGAGGACTCCTCACACCAGGGCATTCGCGAATCCAGAGATGTAGTATAGGCAGGGGCCTTATAGACTAGTTAGTATTGTCCGACATAGGGTACATTACCCCGATGGACAGAAATTGGATAAAAGAACAGAAGAATCAATATCTCTAAGCGACTTTTTTGTGTAGACAGATGTAATTAGCTACCTATTTCATGAAATAATGACTAGCTTTGGTGTACACTATGTATCAGGAGATGCCTCCCTTCTGCAAACATGTCTCCTTTCGATGACGAACTTTAAAGACATTTGAATTTGTCATAGCCTGCAAGGTTCATCAGATAATCGTGTTCTACAAGTGCAATCAAAATTACACTCGCTGTATCCTTCGTATCTAACACCAGTGCCATCTCATGAAGTTCAAAGGCCAATATCTTGTCCTCTCGCTCCATGGCACATAATTGTCTAACATGACGAACTTGACAGTGTCATTGACGCAGGCGCATCGAGAGCATACATTCTGTCCATCTCGTAAATTACATGTCTACCTCCTGTTGTAGGACAACCGCTCTTCATTCGCCTCTCGCAATACCCCGCTTTTACGCTCGCTGTCAGAATAAAACGACAGATGTCTACGATCACATTTGTTTCGACGTCCAACGTGCCCTCAGCCGTGGGAGCCTATTCGCAAGCCAACAAGGCGTGTTCGTTTCGGGTTACATCTCCCTCGTACCTTCCATAATGTAGATCGTTGAAGGCGGTATCGAGGAGCAGACCAAGCCTCTCACAAATTTAAAGCTGTTCTCGAAGCACGAAAGATCAGAATGTCACATTTTTCAATGGGCTGACCTTCTAATGGCACCAGTTTGGACGCAGGACAGTGCAGGAGGTCCTCGCATTGCTTTTTTAGCGTGGTTCACTGTAAAACGGAACAGTTTCGTGACTCGGACCCCTGTGGAGTTTGAACAGGATCGAGCATAAGGGATTGTTGATATATCTCAAGCGCGTTAGGGGGTAAAGTGACCATGAATTCAACATAAGTTTACGGAGGACAATGCATGGAAAGAATGAATACAGTTACGGGACACCGGGAATAAGTTTGAATGCAGTTAGAAGCAGAGACAGAACCAGCCGCTTGCATGCTATCTGGTGTTGACAATCCTCGTCACGTATCAGGTCACCATCGTCACCGGGAGCACTCGCCGTAGCATACCGCTATACATAGATGTATGAGATTTGAAAAATGAGAAAAATGAGAGACACATACCAGTTTACCTGGCGCGAGAGGAGCATCGGCGGCATGATCTGTCTGAAAGGGCCGCCAGGTTGACATTCGATATAAGCTGAATTTGAGGGTTGCAGGAGTATTCACGACGGAAAATTGAGTGGTAGGTGGTGCTGGTGTGGGTTGAGACTAGAAGAACGCGAGTCGAATAGTGTAATGACGAAAACCGGCACTTACGTTCTCCTCTGGTTTTATAAGTGGACGAGGGAGGGGGGAAGTAGCAGGAAACTACAAGGAAACCGCCAAGTCAACTGCAAAGCGAACAGGTAAAAGACATATGTATCCAGGGGATTATGGAGCTCATCAGCGCCAACAGGACGGACTGCGTCCGTATCGGAGGGAAGGTGTTTGCGCAAAAAGGAAAGGAAAGTATGTGGGTCCCTTGTTGACAAAGGTCGAGGGATGGGAGACATGATATGTATTATCACTGTTTTACGGCTCATGGGACGATGTGTTGCATCGGACTGTAATATAGAATGGTATAGTATAGTTGAATGAGAGAGCAGGACCACATACGTTGAGTAAACCAACGCGGCGTGAACGTTCAGATGTATTGGTCTATAAGAATATTAGCATATAAATGAAGGATCTATGCGGAGAATACATACACTAGGCTGCGGTTCTTCAGCAAGCCCAATGCTAGCGAGGATGTCGGCTGGAATGTTACAAATGTAGATATTGCAATCATTCCAACTCGTGTAGGCTAGTTGGCGTGAAACGGGCAAGAGGATGAGGTAGAAAGGATATTTGACGTCGAATGAAGCGAGAGGCTGGCGGGACTCGAAGGCCTGGAGCTTGATGGTGTCGTCTCAGGAAGAACTGGCAAGAGGAACACAATCAGATGAGAGTGCTAGACAACCGATACATACGAGTGTGCCCTTTGAAAGGAGCTCCGACAGTCTTGAGCGTCAACGCGTCGAACTCATAGATCATCCTGGGTTCATCATCTGCAATAAAGTTGAATGCGGCTACGATGCATTTGTTTTTTGTTGTCCAGAAGACCAGCGGCGTTGACACCCAAGGTTGATATCACCACCGAGAGTCTTCCGAGAATTGAAGTGCCACAAAATGATCGATATCATGGACCAGTCACGAGTTCGCCTGTGTCCAAGTTCCATATCCGCGCTGTCCCATCGTCTGACCCACCCGCTAGCAACGTGCTGTCCCCAGAAATATCGATGCGGGCGAATCTGCCATCACGAAATGTTCTCACGGTCCCTGTCTCGACTTCACAAACTTTCAGCTCCAGATCATTTGCAGTGACGACCCATCGACCATCCCTTGATACCCCCATTGTTTGTATGTGCTCACAGACCTCTCAATCTCCTTACCCTCCCACAGGTCCCATCGCCGAATCTGCCGGTCATTTGCTTGCCGTCGGGAAAATAGGAAATACATGAAACATTTCTGAACTCGAGATGTCTACCATCACCGGCAAGGAATGAATTGATGGTTTATGTCCATCCGAGGTCATGATCGGTGTCAGAACCGATTTGTTTTCTGCTGCACGGGGCTGCGTCGGGCTGGAAGACATCACAGCTGTATTCGCCAGACAAGTTGGCAAGTATGTCGGTTAATGTTTGGTGGGTTCTTCTCGTGCTCTGTAAGGCTAAGCTTGACATTAAGCAATTTTCAAGTCCAACTCATTCGAGTGCTGCACCATGCCTACTTAAGCCAGCCGTCAGTCCATGCGTGATGCTCATATGGGCTTTCATCTTACCAGGATGCTAGCAAGGATGAAGAGCGATGATGGGCATATAGGCGTGCGTCCCACCTCTATATATTTTCCAGATAGTTGTGCATTGTACAGCATGTCCTTTTTACTCCTTTTCACATGACGCCTAATACTCCAGCCTTCCCCCCAATCTACATGATGCGTGCTCGAAGCTCCCTACAGCACGGTGCAACCATGTATCAACGTGAACCCCCTGCCACTATAAACTCCCTGACACTCATCGAGCCATCTTATTTCAATTACTTCTTATGATTGACATGAGATGGAGCGTCAGTACTGAGAACATAGTGGTGGAGAAACGGCTGACGAAAAGGGAATCAGCCCTTCGGTACGTACGGTAGGGGTGTGGAGAGGTGCCAAGTAGGCTCGAGTTGAACCAGATTTTCTTGAGTACCTTCACGCCTGTTAAATATCAAACTAAAATTCCATGACTATTATAGGGAAAAGTAAGGGTCATAGCTCGATCGACAAGTGTGCTTGACAACCTTTTGTTATCGTATACATAAGGTCTTGAATGACCTGGTGGCACCGTGGTGCCGATCGAGTATGCCGAAACCATTGAGCGTCCACAGTTCTAATCGCGCCCACACCTACTACCTTTACAACAATGCAAGGTCTCTAGTTGTGGATGGCGGGTGTTTTACCTAAAGGCTCGCTATGAGAAACAACAATAGCAAGGTATGTTTGTGGTGATCTGTGGTTTGCGATGTATTCATTTAAATAGGGACGCGACGGTTGACGGAACGTTAGACTTATGTCCTCCTTCAACCTCCACCTCCAAATTCTCAACCTCCTTCGCGTTAATATGCGAACATTCAACTCAAACGTCGATTTACCATCGGTCTCAGCCACCACTGATGGGCCACGGCGACCTGTAAGTGCTTAGTTTTGGAGGTCTTTGCGTCTGAATATAATCAATATCTACTTCCACAGTCGGATGCGATTATAAGCGAGGACTTGTGCCTTCAACTCGTCAGGAACAGTGCTGGCTATCGTCAGCCGCAACTCGCCGAAGAAAAGGCTGATATCGTTCAGTCCAACACTTCGCGCACAAATTTTTCCTCGCCCATTTGGCGTTTGCCGACCGAAATTCTCTCCGAAATCTTCCTTTACTGTCTGCCCGAAGACGAATATTTGGTGTATGCAGCAACACAGGCTCCTATGCTATTGACAAGAATATGTCGCCGATGGAGGGAGATTGCTGTGGACTTGCCCGTGTTATGGTGCAGGCTGCAGTTGGAATTCTGGTACGAAGACTGGCAGGAGAGAGCTTTCCGACATGATGATTGGCAGACGAGAGCTTTCGGTTACGACTCCTGGCTCAAGCGATCAAGAGGATATCCGCTCTCGTTAAGACTTGAGTGTGGCACTGACTGGAGCGAGCTACAAAGTCTTCTCCAGCCATACGTTCAGCAAATCTCATCTCTCTCGCTTGGCTTTCTATCCTGCGATGGCCCATTCATGATGGAAGACTTCCACGCACTGAAGGAGCTCACTATTTGCAAATACATTTTTGATGATCCTGCGCGAGCTATCAACCGCTCTCTCTCGAAACTGCCAGTTAATCTGCGCAGGATTAACATGGAGAATGTGTGGTTCAACCGCAAGCGATTAAATTTCTTCACACATTCCGCGTGGGCCCGCCTCACACATATCGAGATCAACTTAGATGGACTATGTGCATTCACTCGCATACTCCATCTATGTCCCGATCTATCTTCCCTGAAGATGACTGGAATATTCTGCACACGATTCAAACTCTGCAAATCAGTCACGCACACCAACCTTCAATCCCTATCCATGTCGTGGAGCGTGCTTCGGAACTCTGGCGAGGGTCTTGGCTTATTCAAGGTTATCACACTCCCGAACCTTCGCATGCTTGAAGTTATCCATAGGGGGCCGTGGCCACATGAATCGTTCATGAAATTTTTGACGCGGTCAAAATGTCCCCTGGAGAGGCTGGTTTTCGACAGCGGAGTGCAGGGTAACATCTCAACAGCGAGAAGAATATGCTGCCCTTATTCCTTCGAATCAGTTTTTGATGGAGATGAACCAACAGGACGTCCAATATATCTAAGCGACTTTTGTATTTTTTCAATAGATGGTCGTTGGCTACCTATTTCACGAAATGATGACATCGGTTTGCGCTTACTTATAACATCTAGACATTCTTTTCAAAAGAGAGTTATTCGTCATCGATATGGTCCAGGGGAGGGCGAGGGAACTCGCAGTGCTTTCCAAGCGAAGTCGTCCTCCCTGAAGTCAAGTTCCGGAGAATGGTGGATATTCGATAGAATTAGATAATTTGCATCAGGAAAATCAAAGATACCCGTGGTCTAGTGTGTATAACCAGTACCGTAGCCAGACAAGAAAGTATTGTTACTGTAGTCAAAGACAGCATCCGTGCAGGACAGTCTGATTGCAGGAGAAGCACCAGTTCTTAGTAGAATTGATCGTAGTTCGTCTAAATGAATGAAGCTGTGAGCAAAAAATCATAGTTGCTGTAAAGAGCAGCTCACAAAAAATCACCGAATAAGCTAGTATCGATGGAGCCAATGCTTGGAGGAATAAGTGCTAACTTACTGAGCACAGGCTGATGAAGTAAACACAATTGACACCGAGCCACTGGAAATGCATGCTTAGATGCTTTAAGAAACATTGTGGTTCGTGCTTAAATATAGTAAGCATACAAGCTCACGCTAAGACAACGCATACAACGAGCAACGAGCCCAGTTACGAAACACCAAAGAATAAGTTCGAAATCAGTTAGAAGCAGAAACAGAATCGGCCACTTCTATGCTTTCCGGCATTGATAATATCTGATGCAGGTAGCTGGCGTGAGCGGGGATTTGGGGAAGGAGGAGGGGAAACATAGTCTTTGTCGTGTATCAGGTCATCATCATCACCGGGAGCGCCTGATGTAGCGTACCGCTATACATAGATGCATGAGATTTACAATACGATGAGAAAAATGAGACGCGCATACCACTTTACCCGGCGCGAGAGGAACATCGACGATAGCCAGCGATGCAGGATCCTTATGAGGGGGCCACCAGGTTGATAGTCGACGTAAGCTAAATTCGAGGGTCTCAGAAGCACTGATGACGGAGGATTGGGTGGTGGGTGGTGCCGGGGTGGATCGAGACTAAAAGAATATAAGACGGATATATAATGATGAAAGTCAGCACTCACGTTTTTGTCTGGTTTTTTAGGTGGACAAGGTAGGGGGGATGTAGCGGGGAACTGCAAGAGAACCGTCGAGTCAATTAGGAAGCAAACGCGTCAAAGAAACATACATCTAGTGAATCACAAGACTCATCAGTGCAAATAGGACGAATTGTGTCTGTGGGAGGGAATGATTTTCCGTAGGAAGTGAAGAAAAGCATGTGGGTCCCTCGTAGGCAAAGGTCTCGGTGGGTGAGGGATGGGAGACATGACAGGTATTATCACTGGTTTACGGTGCACGGTACGGAGCGCCGCACCCGACCGTGATGAAAAACGGTATGGAGTAGATGAATGAAAGAGCAGGACCACATACGTTGGGTAGACCAACATAGCGTGAACATTCAGGTTTGCTGCTCTGTAAGAATATTAGCATATAAATGAAGGATCTATGCGGGGAATACATACACTAGGCTGCGGTTCTTCTGCAAGCCCAATGCTAGCAAGGATGTTGGCTAGGATGTTGTATGTGTAGATCTCGGTGTCATCCATAAACGTGTAAACCAATTGGCGTGAATCGGGCGAGAGGGCGAGGGTGAAGGGAGTATTTTGGACATCAAATGAGCCAAGGAGCTGGCGGGATTCGAAGGTCCATAGCTTGATAGTGTCGTAGAAAGAGCTGGAAAGAACACAATCAGATGGGAGTGCTAGACTACATGATGGTACCGGTGTGCCCTTTGAAAGGAGCTCTGACAGTCTTGAGCGTCGACGCGTCAAACTCATAGATCGTCCTGGGGTACTCATCTATAGTGAATCTGAATTGGGTCATGATGGATTTGTCTTTTGCTGTCCAGAAGACCGGAACAATTGACTCCGAAACGGGAGTAGATTTTTGCACACCCGATTTCTGCGTCTGGATATCCCACACTTCCAGACACCGCCAGCTTCCGAGAATTTTTCGAGAATCGAAGTGCTAGTAGGTCGCCAGATGAAACATCGTCACTACATTTGAATGGACCAGCCACGAGTTTTCCTGTGTTCAAGCTCCATATCCGCACTGTCCTATCGGCCGACGCACCCGCTAGCAGCATGTTGTCCATAGAGATATCGATACCGGTGATCCATTGGAAGTCTTCATGAAATGTTCTCACAATCCTTGTCATGACCTCACTGACTTTGAGTCTCCTACCGCCAGCAGTCATAATCCATCGACCATCCCTTGACACCACCACTGCATCTATTTCTCGCAAGCCTCGCAAGCCTCCTCGATCTCCTTACCCTCCCGCAAGTCCCATCGCCGAGTGGTCTTATCGCCCGATCCGCTGATCATTCGCTGACCGTCGGGGAAATAGGAAATGCATGAAATAAATTTGTACTCGTGATCACCACCATCTGGAGAGGAAAGAACACATGGTTCATGTCCCTCCAAGGTCATGACTGGCGTCAAAATCGATTTTTTTTTTGGCCATTGCAATGGGCTGTGTCGAGCTGGAAGCTATAATGGTTGTATTCGCCAGACAGGTTGGCAAGTATGTCGGTTAGTGAACGTGTTCGGTGAGCTCTCCTCGTGCCCTATAAGGCCAGGCTTAATATTGTGTGATTTGCAACTCTAACTCGTTCGAGTGCCGCACTTTGCCTGCTTAAGCCAGCCGTCAGTTCATCCATGCGTGATACTCATATGGGCTTTCATCTTACCAGGATGCTAGCAAGGACGAAGAGAGATTATGGGCATATGGGCGAGCGTCCCACCTCTTAGATATTGATATCTTCCAGACGGCTGTGCATTGTACAGCATGTCCTTTTTCCCATTCAATCCACAACGCATAATCTTATCTTTTGATGACCTTGGAGCAGCGCCCACCTGCGTCGTAAATGAGTTTCAAATTGAAAGTCACGATCTTGCTCTGAAATGACGAAGAGCTGGTTTGACCACATCCAAAACCTCACCAGATTCAACCAGCTTCGCATTGGGTCGCATTCTTGAACAGTTCTGAATAGGCCAAGTGGTGTGCAAACATGAGATGAACAACTGAACAAGCACCTGTCGGGATTCGGATGTTCATACTTGTCCGAGATCAACAAACCCAAAGCAATTTTTCTTCTGTCTATGCATGCACACCAAATTTTGCTAAACCCGTGTCGACGACCTTCTAAAAAATTTGTTCAAATGCGTGTCTACACGTCTGTCGTCATACCTGAAACCATTGCCAAGTTCATCCGAGTATAGCCTCAGTGAGACCTCATCAAAAACGACACGGGATTTTTGATACGCATCACAAGCTGTAAGGTGCATTGACCAGAAAGAATATGAAGGTCATATGACAACTAAATGATACTTCACCCATGGTTGAAACATCAATATTGAAAGCCTTTGAGGCGCGAATGATCATGACCGGAAATATCACCTGGTCGATGTTTGGCCGCACTTCGAAAGCCTATACCAATGCGCTTGGTGTACATTGCAGATATCAAAAATACCCCCGTGTCCCCAGGTACCACTTTCTGCCCACCAATAACGCAATTTCATCTTGATAGCCAGTCATTTCCTGCGCATGCTGTCGGTCCACGATCCAGACTTCTGAACTCAAGCCTCCCCGGGACATGCGGGTGTCGCTTCTGTGCTGTGTTTACGAGCCGCAAAGCAATGCCCAAGATGACTTTTCAATGATGAAGTAGGTCTTTGATGGTCCTGGAGTTTATGACATCGGTAAGTGAATTTTTCGCCCCCTCACCGTTCATCGTATCACCTATCCTTCCGGGCCAGACTAGTTATTCCTCGCATTTGTCTTTCCACCCTACTGAGAACCTACAACTGATCGCTCTTTAGTGCCTGTATATGCGGTTGTGAAGAGTAACAAGACAACGACATACCTTTGCGTCAATCGACCAATGTTGCTAGACTGCAATTTCCTTCAACTTGTGTAGTTTTGAAAACAAGAAAGTAAAATTGCGGTCAGTTCAGCGTCTTGGTCAGAGGAGTCACGTTCCGCCAGAATCTATGACAGGATGTTACGATGTGTTAACCAGGAAATGAAATAAAAGTGAGTACTTACAAGGAAGTGCAGCGAGAACATTATTATCCATGTCGTCTGGCGCTCAAGTCTCAGGAGGGCACAAACATTCACAGCGCATCCACAACGCACTTCTCGTTTTTGCATCGCGGACTTACCACAAGAATGAACCACTCGAGAGTGGATGCAAAGTTGAACGCATGGAGCAAAATGACCACTGTCCCATTTGATGAATAATGGTGGTCCACAGGAAATGTTCTCTGAAAGGAAGATTCCACACAACTCGAGGACACCTACTGGACAACCATATAAATATTGTTTCAGTGGCCCTCATCTTCTATCCCTTACCCGCTGTACTTATTATCATTGCGAACGCGTATACACCCCTTTAACATTTCAATCAATTATCTGCTGGCCCAGGTACGTTTGTCCCCAGCTTCAACACCTACGCATTCTGACGATATCAACTTCTCGCATCTAGATGACCCAATCTACCCCCCATACTTCCTCGTCGCACGGCTCCGATTCTTCCAATGCAGCACAATACATACCGAACACTGGCATGTATATTGGTCAATTTCCCTGGCCCCAGCCCGCATATATTCCTTATCCAGGCTATGCCCCCCCACACCCCTACCCATATGATGTGCCACCTGATGCTCCCTCGTACGCCCCCGTCGCACCTTCGCCTGATGTGGGCACTGGAGTTGATCATCACGCATTCCAAGCGGGACAGAATGGTTATTGCCCCCCTGCAGCAGCCCATGTCTCACATGCCACTGATCCTGGTCCATACTCATCACTCACTGTGGTTGTTCCTCCCCCACAACGCCCATCCGCGTCCCCCCTCTACTATCAACCTTTCCCATTGAGCTCTTTTCCAAGAGCCGCGAACCTTTACGCTCCACCCATACCGCACCAAGGTTACCCCCACCAACATCACGGGCCTGGGCTTGCAACGGACTCTGCTTCCTTATCTCTCCCTCAAGTATCAAGTTTTTCGGTCGGTCAAAGGCGCGTTGCAGAGAACCTCCAAGTTCGTGACGTCAAGCGAACCAAAATATACCCTGGCGGGATGAAGAATGACCCGTTATTTGTGAGTTTTCTTTTAATTTTGTGAGGTCACATTCTCAAACCTTGGGACAGAAACCCGTGTTAGATCAACATGGCCAACCCAACGGGACATTCGTGTGTTCTAAGGACGGCATGGTACTCCGTCCTGAAGGCTATCTCAAGCACCTCAAGACAAAAAAGCATCTAGGCTTCAAACTAGAGAAATACAAATGCCCTGGTTTTATCAAAACGTGCGTATCCTAACTCTCGAAATAAGCGCGTCTGATAACTAATATTGTTGTCATTAGTTATGCCCGACGTGATGCCTGCAAGAGGCATTGGGACGACAGTTGTGGAAAGCTAGCAGCTGATGGTGCTGGGCAATCATACTCAGACGCTTGCAAAAGTTCCATGAGTTCCACTTCTGCCGCGCCTGTGACAGCACCTACTACGGCGTTCACGTATTCTTGTCCGTACCCCATGCCCGCCACGTCGATGTCCAAGAACGTGCAGTTCCCACCCCCAGTCGCTTATGTTACACAGTGGTATGGAACGCCAAGTTTTGCGAATCCTGTACTTTGCCTCTCCCAATCACCAGAGAATAACACGGTCGCAGTGCCCGCCGAAGACGAGGACGACGAGGACGACCCTGATTTTTGGGAGGCTAATGAGATACGAGACGCGGATGAGATGTAGTTACACCCCACTCCCGCTGCCGACCGCTCTCTTTATTATTATCTGCTGTCATTCATTCACATATGGTCTTTCCACCGACTACACGCATTCTTTTTATTCTCTATGGCATAGTACACTACTCTTCATTCATTCAAACTATTACGATCGTTATTATCTTTATCGTTATCATTATCATCATAGTGATTTAATTCGTTAGTTATAATATACTCCTTCCATGCATTTCCACCATTAAATCTTGAGAGAACGCGCTTAATTAGAAAGTATTGTCCTACATAGGGTACTCTCCCCAATGGACACGAGTTGGAATCAACAAAAAAAATTGTTTCTACACGTCGCTGACTCACAATCCACTCAACGCGATGAAGTCCCCTCAGCGGAGGCCAGCTATGCAGCAGTATGGAGGGCATGCTACAGAGGTTCAAAGGCTCCGCAGTCTGGATAGTAAATGCTCATAATGAATGGGGAACGCAGGGGCAAGTCTGAACGAGTACACGCTATCAAAATATTTCAAGGACAGATATGCAGACTCTAGAGTAGGAGACAAGCGGTATCTGAGGGAGGAAGGCGTAGGCGATCACTAGATTGACGTTCGAGTTCGGGTCGTATCCATTCCCGGTACTAACCCGTGGCAGAGGGTTGGAGGGTGAAAAATTGCATACCTTGGTACTTGTCATCTCGGGCGTAGAATGCATGCCACAAATCTTTGAGAACAGCCAATGAAATTGAACACAAACCAGTAATATAGGATATCCGGTCAAAACATCCCTTCCCTTTGTGGAATGGCGACTGGTGGTCTGTTGGTGCTCCCAGGACGATCTGACGAACGTGGTGGAGGAGCTGGGCTATCCCGCGCAGATCTCGATGAGTGATCAGAGTCATGGATCTGCACGACAGGGCGCACAGGCATTAGAGAGCGTGTAGTAGGGCGGGCGGGCGAGTCAGGGGCAGATGGAATTGAAGGTATGAGAGGCGTTGAGGAAGACACGAAGGATGATATGGATTGTGGTGTGTGCGAGCCCGAGATGGAGGGCCCTAGGGAAGGGGCATGGAAGGTAGCGGAAACAACGCAGGTGTCGTTTCTCTGGGGGTCCTGAACCAGAAGCTCGTCAAGGAGATAGCGGAAGTCAAGCCCAAATTCTTGTAGGAGCTGAATAGTATGTAAGTGGATGGTTTACACAAACGGTGAGAATGAAAGACAGGGGTCAAGATTGGCATGAATTGGTGGCGGAAAGATCATAGACGAACCTTGCGACTCTGACTGTGTGTGATTTTGAGTGCTTCTTTGACAGTCTGTTGTTCAGCATCGGAACTATAGACCTGCTTCCTGAACCTCTCAGCATATATCTCAATTTGTTTCTTAGCCCAGTCAATTAAAGCTTGGTGCCGATCAGTAAAGAGGATCGCATGGAAAATGCGAAGAAATACTGACTGCTAGTCATATCATGCTCTACAAAGCCCGCGAGGAACCAATCCGCTGTATGCTTGATCCCGGTAAACACGACTAAAGCTAAATCGTGCACATACATCCCGACATGGCCTTCGAATCTGATAGCCCTGACATACCGGTCCACCGCCTCCGCTCGTGCATTCAAGAATGTTGACCTCGCAGCTGGACCTTGTCCAAGCTTTAACAAATGGCCAATGAGGTTTACTGCAGTATTCTTGCGGTTCCCGGGCGAACTGAGTGCATCGAGTAATGCTGAGGTGAGGCTCGCCGTGAGAGGAGTGAGCTTGGCGCTCAATGACGGTACGGAAGAAACTTTAGCTCGACCTTCCACCACTAGCTCAACGGCCCGTTCCCAGGATCGTAAAGCGATAGCGACTGTAAGGTCGTCCGAAAAATCACTGATGAAACGTGCATCGCTCTCGGATTTGTCCCGTGCGCTGGTGTCCCCATCAATGCCCGCTTTGCGGGCAAGCTCAGCCATCCAGTCAGGAAGGGGCGGCATCTTGTCAGGATGCAATGTCATGGAAGCGCGCTGCTTAAGAATAACATGTCAAATGAACGAATATGAATTGACCAAGGCATAGAGGCTGACATCTCCGCTGGTCCACATGCTCTTACGTCGCTCGTGCTCGCCTTCACGCTCCCTGCGTTTGCGGATCGCAAGTTCTTCGGCAACCTGGCGAAACTGTCCAAGAAGAATCTTCTTATCAGAGGGTGCCTCCGTTCTGTAAACATATGTCTCCTTTTGATGGCGAACTTTAAAGACATTCGTCATAGCTTGCCAGGTTGATCAGATAATCGTATGCGCTCTACAATACAGATCACACTCACTTGCTGTATCTTTCGTATCTAACACCAACATTTCATTCAAAGGCCAACATCTCTCTGCCACCAGCCGTCCCCCTTCTCCGTTGTTCCTCCTCCTCCTCTTCGCGACGAGCACAGAATCATCTAGCACGACGAACTTGACAGTGTTACTGATCCTGTAGGTTGCCGCATTGAGAGCATATATCCCGTCCATCTCATAAATTACATGTCTGCCTGGCGTTGTTGGAGCAAATTTTGCGGAGCCCTCGATTTGGGTATGCAGCGTCTGCATCTGATTCGCATAGAGCACGCGAAGGTCCGCAATGGATGAACGGACGTTGCGCCGCCGCTCCGAAGCAGAGGCGGATTCATCAATGTGCAAAAGGCTCGGCATAGACTTCCATTCAGAAAGGCTTTCTTTGAGCTCGAGCACTTCATTCTCGAGGAAAGAAATTTCTTTGGAAATATGTACGAACTCAGCATAGCTGTAGTAAGGTTAGCGAAGTCGACGGGGAAGAACGTTAGGAGATACTTTTTAAACACATTCCGCTGTAGTTCGACAGCGGTATCATCCTTGGATGATCTGAGTGAAGACTGGAGAGACCTGAGCTCCGCCTCGGTTGAGTTAGCCAGTTTGGCCTTCAAGTCTGTATAGTACGTCGAACGCGTAAGAACATCCAGAATGCAAATGCGCAGTACCTACAAGTGTCAGGATCAAAATCTTCCTTGTCCAGCAACCTTTGATCTATAGCCTTCGGGTCCTCTCTGATACTGGCACGTTCCAAGACAAGTTCATCTGGGTCCCTCACTGCGCCTGGCCGCAGCCCAATGGGAACGCTTGGCACGTCTGGGACAGAAGCTTCGGTGGGTGCAGATATCTCTGCATAGCGCAGTGACATGCGCTTCTTTATCTTGTCATCGACGGTGGACTTGCGGATATTCTTATTGATCGGCTTCTTCTCGAGTTTAGAGGCCTGACGTTTGACGGTACGCGTCTCAGATGGCCTGCGTGTACGCAAAGACTGCATGATATAGAAAAAATCTCAATAAAAGTTTGTGCTGGTCATCCTAGACGCTGAGGACAACCACAGCTGATCTTGAGCAGACCTGACATTGCATCCGACATCATGTGAACCGTGCCCGGTTCATACCGGTAATACTTGGGTAATACATAGTTCACTTCATCAATCGCTCCTCTTAATTATCCACTGCAAGCCTTGCAGCTGACTTGAGGCCACTCCTTACTGGCGATCGACCCCGTCGACGTCAGAGACCACATCGTGAACGATATAGTCATAGTCTCTTCATCACCGACTGCAGCGACAACCGTGTGCGGTGTTACTGGTCAAACACTGTCAGCCACTTCCGTAGGCGAATCCGTGTCTATATATTGTACCATAATTAACCAGCGTGTTACCAGTACAGCCCTTGTAACGATCATATAACTTCTTTTCAGCAGGTAATAGTGGGTTCAAATCTATCCTTTGAGGCTTCGCTGGCCTAGCCTAACATCATTTCTGACAATCAAATAGCTTGACTCAAGTATCAGCTCAACTCTTCACATCGTACTAAGTAATGTACGCCCACGCTCAGTCACGGCCAAACTCGTTCTATGCTGCGGATGATGCGGCAGGCCAACCAGATTATCTCCCAGAGCCGCCACGCCGTCATCGCCAGTCCCGTACTCAAGGCTCCCCGAATCATTACCAGCCTCCACAACAGCCAGTAGATCCGGACTATGATGACGACGAACAACCCTTGGGACTCGCGGGTCAATTACCTGATGCTGCGGATGAGTTTTATGGCGCCCAACAGAATGGCAGCACATCCTTCCCAACTCAACAATCTCATTCTCAATCACCATTGTCCCAGGGTCCCCTTCTAGATCACTCTCACCTCCGCCCGGGCAACCAAGCCTCGCTACTTTCTTATGAGCGTACCCTCGAGCTATATCGTGCAAATGCAAAGAAAACACAGGATCCAGACATCCAATTCGAGTTCGCAGTATTCATGATTGATGCTTCGAAATCTTTCCCCATCCCGTCCCCCACCCCCGGAAATGTCATGGAAATTGAAAAGGCAATTGACAAGCGTGACAATCTCGTGCATGAAGCCACAGGTCTCCTCAAACGCCAAGCAGACCGGGGACACCCAGCATCGCAATATTTCCTTGCAGACTGCTACGCCAATGGTCTAGGGACTTACAAGAACAGGCAGGACTTCGACCGGGCGTACCCACTATTTGTGCTTGCAGCAAAGCACGGGCATCCAGATGCCGCATATCGTGCAGGAACTTGCTGCGAGAATGGATGGGGTTGCAGGCGTGAATCTGCCAAGGCTCTCCAATTCTTCCGCAAAGCCGGAGCAGCGCTTCATCCTGGTGCTATGTACCGTCTTGGTATTGCTGAACTTAATGGCGAGCTCGGACTCTCAAAACGGCCACGCGAGGGTGTCAAATGGCTAAAACGCTCTGCGGAGCACGCAACAGCTGAATTCCCGCACGCCCTGCACGAGCTTGCCTTGTTGCACGAACGTGGGATAGACAACGTCGTATTTGTTGACGTGGAGTATACCGTGGAACTACTCGCACAGGCGGCGGAACTTGGGTATGCACCCAGTGCTTACCGGTTAGGGGAATGTTATGAGTATGGGAAATTGGGTTGTCCCCAGGATCCAGCCTTATCAATTCATTACTATGTGAGTATCCCCACCGATTAGCGCGCTAAAGTTAATTGTATCTGCGCAGAACATCGCAGCGCAGCAGAATCATCGTGATGCATGTTTCGCCCTCACAGCCTGGTACTTAGTCGGCTCACCCGGTGTGCTACCCCAATCCGACACAGAAGCGTATCTGTGGGCACGCAAAGCCGCAGATGCCGGTCTTGCAAAGGCGATGTACGCCGTTGGATACTTCTTGGAAGTGGGGATTGGTACCCCGCCGGAACTCCCAGAGTGAGTGATTTTTTCTCAGTACTGAATTCGATACTGATGTATATGTGCAGAGCGATGACGTATTTCAAGAAAGCCGCAGAACTGGGTGATAAGCGAGCCCAACAGCGACTCAAAGGCCCACCCATCGGACAACAAGGCGGAGTCATGCGAGACTCCGATGCCAAGAATGCAGCCGCCAACAAGGACTGCATAATCATGTAGACTTGCCTCATCTGCTTACAGCTTGTTTATTTCGCAGGGAATCTGCTTAATGTCGATGTGTACACGGACGATGGACTTGGAATAATACTGGACAGTACTGTTAGTTACATAAGTTCATGCTGCCATTGCCCATTTTTCTACTTAGTTTCATTCCATCTTGATCTACCACTACGTCATTTTACCCTACTCTCATTGACCATGTCCCTGCGTTCATTTTGAGACCCATTTGCTCGACTTGCGTACGTAGATCGATACCCATAGAGCTTAACCCTTACGAATTTGAAGGGTGTGGTAATCACCATTGGGTAGCAACAAACCATCACCTTCAAGCAAGCTGGATACCTCTCCCGACGTCGATTTCTACCAGCTCCTTGGCATAACATACGATGCCCCGCTGAGTACAATAAAATCAGCGTACCATAAGGCTCTTCTTGCTTCCCATCCAGACAAACGATCATTCTCATCCGGTATACCACCCGTAGATGTCGACTATCGCACTCCTCAAAGAAGCGTACACCACCTTGTCAAACGTGTCCTCTCGCGTAGCCTATGATAATATTCTTCGAAATACTCGAGTAAAAACCTCCACTGGACCGCGTCCTGCGCAGGTCATCTCACTAGAAGATTTTGAGGAGGCAGAGGAAGGTGTATGGACACATGCTTGTAGATGTGGTGGGACATACAGGATCATTGAAGAAGATATGGATGCGGGAAGACACCTTGTCGGCTGTGAGAGTTGTTCCGAAGTTGTGTGGGTAGGATATGAGCTTGTCAATGACGAGCATCACGCTACCAACGGCTAATCAAATCGCCAATATTAATGCTGTACAGGCTGAAATTGTGCGGTATGGAACCTGGACATCTTACATTTACTTGCTAATGATACATATATTATGTTTCCAGCGTTACACGAGCTCAATCGACCACTATGGCATCATCACGCTCTTTCAACCACTTCTTCACTAGCACTTTCCTTAACTCGCGGCCGATTGCCATTGCGACTGGCCATGGCACGGCATTCCCAATCTGCCTGTGCATCTATGTTATTTGATCAATGTGTAGTGGGAGGGGGGATTGTTTTAGCACACACCGTCATGACACGATCATTTTCCGCGTGGAACACAAACTTGTCGGGAAAGCCTTGTGAGCGAGCGAGTTCGCGCACCGTGACAATGCGTTTACACTGCACGATTTGTACTCATTTAGTTAGGTGCACTGTAGTGGAATCAATGACGCACATAAGGGTTAAGCACGCGAGATTGCTTTGCACTTGGGTCAACGTTGGTGACAGTAGCTTGAAAATAACTGTTCCTGTCAACTCGTCCATAAAGACCTATGCACCGTGAGTTAAACGTTACGCATGACTCTTCATTAAGTCAGAGTACCTGGTTTGAAACCCCTGCGTGCAGCGGCTGAGGATGGATTTGCGAAGTGCCACTCCCAGAGATGCCCCCAAGTTCTGACATCATCGTCAATGCTGCAAAGTCTTGCAAAAAAAAAAGAAACTTACCCCTATAGTCTGCACCCGCCCTCATCGGGATACTTACAACTCTGCGCAGGTTAAAAACATCTACTATGCGAGGTCATCACTCACCTCTCGACTTTGATGGCCTCGTAGGTCCGCGTATATTGTTGCAGATCTTTCGAAGGTTCTTCACGACACCATTTTTGGAACGCTGTTGTTGGCTCATGCTCGTACTCTACATCCTCTCCAGAGTACCCGCACCAGGGGCGGTCTTTCTTGCATTTCTTAACGGGGATCATTTGGGCGCGCTCCCGTTCTTCTCGTCGTCTGGCTGGATCCCTGGGTGGTCTTGGGTTTGCCCTGTAACCAATAACTTAGTGAACGTGGCCCATTTCAGGGTAATGTAACTGTACCAATCGAATCGAGGAAGGTCACTGATAGCATCGTCAATAGTGACAAACTGGTGAGGCGCGTATCCAGTCTCTGTCCAAATAGGGTTGATATGGTGTCCAATTGGAAAATTAATTCCCAGCGCGTCCACTGTAGGGAAGGCGTGCGTAGGTTGAGGGAGCTGAGGAAGGGGTTGACCGTACTTTGCCGCGACCATGAAAAACCGCACACGAGTTTGAGGAGTGCCGTAGTGACCAGCTTGTAGGATCCCATAGCGCACTTGGTAGCTGAGAAGTATGATGTTGGACAGATACTTGATGCTTGAGCGCGACTTACTTCATGTCAGTCATCGCCCGGATCAAGAATTTCAATCCGCCCATGGGAATACCCCCTTTTACTCTATACGGCCCGGCTTGCCGTACCTTTAGACCGAACGACAGGAACCCGCGCACGTTCTCAAAGAAGCAGTATTTTGGCTGCATAAAGTCAACCCACGATAAGACGTTGAGGATAAGGTTGCTCTTGCGGTCATTTGCTTTGACGAACATGTTCAGACGTGAATGGGGCTGGCTAAGGTGCAGTTTCACTACAATCAAAAAGAGTGCGAAAATATGCCATCACTGACCAGGGAAACCCAGCAATGATACAATCAATCTCCTCAGGTTTTGGAAGGGCGGGTATGTATGGGTCCTCTGTGATATCCGATTCTATTTTCTCCAACCGCCTAACCTCGAGATTGGTGTGTGATCTAATCGCTGCTGCGAGTACTAGGTTGCTGCATTGGTTATACACGACCGTTTTAGGAGAGTTGGCTCTGTCAAGTTCTTGTTAGTATTGCTGAAATGAGGAGCAAGACGCGCACTTCAAGGTCTTTGCGGCACTTGGAGAAATTTCGACCGCATGGGTAACTTCGATGCAGCCAGACTCCTCCAACCCCATCCCGAAAGCTCCGGCTCCGGCGAACGGGTCCAAAGCACGAAGGGGTTTTTGCTTCTTCAAAAATTCTTGGTATTGCTTCCACTCAGCTAGGTTCTCTGCAGTACAGTATATGCACACCAGGAGATCTTTAGGCAGAAGTGTGTGTTTGTGATCCCAGGAGGTTACATCGAGGCTAGGGAAGGAGTAGCAAGCATAGAAGTGATAGGGCGACATCTCGAGCCATTCTTTGAGCTCTGGCACAGCCGCTCGCACATAGACATGACACATTCCAATAATACTGGAAATCGGGAAGTTCATTTTATCTTGCGTGACAAAGAGATGGCGCTGGGGACCTGGGTAAAAGTGAAGATTGTACGTGGGCGGTGTACCCTCACCTCATCCTTGAGCTCTTCCGCGGGTCGGAGGCCCAACTTGTTAATCCTTCCAAACATTCTTACTCGAATCCAACCATCGTCATCTGAATGCTGAATGTGAATACGGGTAATTTGACCGATATGACACGGTCCTTCCTGAGCCTTGATCATAACAACGTCGCGGAGATGATACCTAGCGCCCTTCCATGCAACGCCATGGTGAATTTTGTGGAGGATGAGTGCTTCCTGCTCCTCAGCCACTGAGCACACAGGGCAGTGGTTGTACGGGAGCTCGTCTTGTCCGCGCTGCAGTCGTTCTTGCGGTATTTCAGTGAATGAACCATCAAGACTATCATAAATGAACCTGCAGGCAGAAATATCAGCAAGGTTCTCGAAAGTTGCGGAAGATGTATGACTTGTAGAAAAAATTATAAGGCCCAACGACAGGCATTTCTTTTGAAGGATCGACGAACTGAACCGAAACTTTTTGGACGATAAGGTCGAAATCGACAGTGCTACATATGTTGGTCAGAAATAATTCTTGGGGGTGTCCAAGCTGCTCCATAGCCGTTTTTGTACTATGCTCGAACCATTCAACATGAACATTTTCAAACTCGTCACTGATGTATAGAATTTTTCCAAACCTGAGGAAAGGGAGTTAGTCAGTGAAACGTATCAGCACGAATAGTATACCAAAAGTAGTCTGCTAGAGTTGCATATTTAGGTATGTCTTCTGGGTCCGGCAATTCGGGAGGCCTCCTCTGGTCATCGTTCCCAATGGCAACAATGATGGTATCTCCAACCTACAAGCAAAGTGAAGCTAGACACAATAGGAATTAACAATACCATACTGCATAATCATTGCCATCTATTGTGATGTACTTGAGCCAGCGTGAACCTCGACGAAGGCGTTGTTCCGCGGAACGGAATTGAATTTCCCTCCGTATAGATACTCGCTGGACAAATTGCTTCACCCTCTTCCGAAGGTCATCATACGGAATCCCAGGTTCAACACGAGGTTGTGGACCGGCAACCACCAGCTGTTCTTTAAACCATCCGGTCGCCAAATTTGCAATTCGCGACGTTACATGCGTCGCATTCTGATTTTCCGGACGAAGGACGGCAAGATCTTTGCTTCCTTTGCTAGTAATTACTGCTACTGGCGGAACTTGTGGCCGGGGACGTGGTTTGATGGATCTCAATATCGGGGGCGCAGGCTCTGTCAAAAGGTGTCGGATGATATTAGTGGTACGCAATTGTTGAGAATTTTCTAGACCCTCGAGCGCATATCTTAGTTCAGCAACCTACGATACGTTGCAGTGAAGTTTGATCACAATCGAAAAAATCTCACACTGTCCCAAAGATATTGCTCGTCAAGTCGACTACTGCCAATCTCTATGGTTGAAAAGTTGGCCAGAAAGTCACGATATTGCAGATCCGGTTCCCGTATGGCGGACGATACAATCGCTTGAACGACACGGTGCGGTAGAAAAAATGCTCTGAACTCGTGTCGGTAATCCTTCGATGGAGTATCCAGACGATACCGAGCGTGGTTGGATTCAATGTACATTGAACTGCGCACAATAGCCGTGGATTATTAAGTAAATCTAAAAAAGAACATCACCTACTCTTCATCTTCAGTGTAGTCGATAGAATAGCCAAGAATATTTTTGATGCGAATAAACTGGGGATCGTAATCTTCGAGGTCTTCTTCCTGGCCCTCATCTTCGTCGTTTTCTGGCACTGAAGTAACCTTACCTGCACCCTCAAGCATATGATCATTGTTCCCGCGCTGCTCATTAAGGTAAGAAAGGGAGACCATAACCAGGTGACGAGTAGGGTCGAAAAACGCAAAGTCATGTAGGATCCGGGTAGGTTTCTGCCCATCGTTTAGCACGCCTGGATCTTCGCCGATAACGACAAGGTCTTCAGTCTCCAGTAGTTCGTTGTTTTCCGGTTGATAATATTTCGCTGGGACGGTGCATTGTAAGTTAATCGGATTTCGGCGGAAAAACATGCCAACACACGTGCTCGAGGACGTTCATTCGTCTTCCGACGTTTTGCACGCTGTGAAAGGGAGAGGATAGTTACTATCAAACATACACTCTCGCGATTTCAATGGCACGCACTGAGTCATGATAGCGCTCCGCGTCATCACGCTGACGCCGGCGATTATTCCCCCCATCTGTACCACTGCCGGATTCATCTCGCACTTCACTTGGATATGTTACCTCAAACGCGGTCGGTCTACGACGAGGTGGCATCCTTATCGCGCTTTCTCGAGTCGTGCTGGTGTTGCTCAAAGAAGCGGGCAGAGTTCGTAACAAACCTAAAAAGGTCCCGGGAACTCCTAGTATGTCTGAGTGAGAGTTGATACGCTTGATCACGATAAGCACACATTGCGGTACTTACTACGCCACACAATAAAGTTGGTATACTTATATGAAGGATCGAGCACGCGTATAGTGCTACGCACTGATAGGATGTAGCGAAGTCCTATTTCAGTTTATCTTGTAAACTTACGAAAGCGGCGCTAGTCTAAACCAAGGCTGTGTTCAACAATCACGCGAATGACTGCCGAAAATTCTACGCGAATCCGGAGCACTTCTGAGTAGTTCTACCAGTTGGAGCAGGACCAGCGGCCTAAGCCCAGAGCAAGGCAGACACGCTACTATGATGATATGGTGAAACCTAGTCTACGTGCTGACTAAGCTGTTGAAAGGGACGATAGGCCCTTCCTGCCCTTGGGACCCCTGGTTCCACCTTGCATGTATTCGAAAAGATATTGGTACGTACAATCCTGCTTGCTTATTATGTAAAATTGAAGACATTACAAGTGATCGGTTCTGAAAGAGATAGTGGTAGTGAATGATTTGTGTCCACAAAAGCAAGGACGCTTTAAAGACTTGTACTCCTGCAATGCAGCAGTAGAGGAAAAGATCTTGCTTATAGGGATCACGTCAAAACAAACATCCAGCTGAAAATAAGATGGGACTATGTGAAAATTCACTTTGCTGGTGTAGTTCCTGCTGGTGCGTCTGGTCCTGCTAGTGCACCTTCGGGTATACCGCTCGCTGATGTGGACGTGTCCCCAACCTGATGGAAATCTTGAAACGCACCAAAGACACCGTGAGCATCGTGGCAGCTGAATGTGAAAAGAACCCTAACCCAGAATCTCGCTGTACATCATGACCTTCCACGTGTCAACGGGGAGGTCGGCATCATTGAAACTCCAATCAAATTTCTCAGAAGCTACAGGTTCATCGGTCGGATCATGATACGGCGCCACATATTCATGAGCGAGTGACTCCGCAGCATCTATGCGTTTCCGAGGGTCGAAGACCAGCATCTTTTCTAGAAGATCCAAGGCTGTGATGGAGCATTAGTACATGCACGCCACTCAGAGCCAGAATGGTGCCTCACCATCCGTATCGGTAGTTCGGAGTTTCTGGCTGAAAGGCACGCGCTCGCGTTTGGGCAGACTTTGCACAAAGCGGAGAGTCTACAGCGCGATCGATTAACGTGAGAATGGGAATACCTAGCCGATAACCTAGAGGTACTACCCACGTTTTCGCTCGCGATAGTTTCAATGACATCATCTGGAGGAGTACCCAATAGTTCAGTGATTATGGAAAACTGATTGACATCTTGAAACGAAGGCACAATGTTAGAAAGTGAGAATGCAGGTGCGTGAATGCTCACGGTCTTTCCCAGGGAACAAGGGTTTGCCTTCGAGCATCTCTGCGAATATGCAGCCTGTACTCCAAATGTCGACCGCAACATCGTACTTTTGCCAGGTTAACATAATTTCAGGGGCGCGGTAATATCGTGTTGAGACATAGCCTGTCATTTGGGGGTCCTGGATCCGGGCTAATCCGAAATCACATATCTATAGAAGCAATGACATCATAAGATATCCCATGTTGCTGTGACGAACCGACAAACCTTCAAGTCGCAGTTCTCGTTGACAAGAATATTACTAGGTTTCTGTGCGCTTGTCTCGAAAATGATCATGATAGATACAGAACAAAAGACGCACGAGGTCTCGGTGCACGACGCCCGCAGAGTGAACATATTTTAGTCCACGCTGGACCAGATCAGACGGAAAGACGGCGAGTTACATCATCATCACGTACCAGAATCTGATACAGGAAGTATTGGACAAACTGTTTCTCCAGAGGTCGCGATGTCAGCAGTCGATGGAGGTCGGTTCCAAGGAGTTCGGTAACGAAATACCTGTAACATTGATCAACTACTTTGAGGGTTCGGGGTTTGGAGTAGGAACATACAAATCTTCAAGTGGCGAGATGAATACATCGCTAAGGCTGATTATCTACACGTGTAGATAGTACAAGTGTGAGCAGCAAATTGTGCGTGGCGCATCTGAGACGTACATTCTCGTGTTGTATGTGCTTGAGGAGCTTGAGCTCACGGTATGTTCGTTTGCTCAAAACTGGGGTACTGAAGGGCTTCATAATCTTCTTGATGGCAACAGAAGACCCAGTGAGTTGATCCTTAGAAGAGCTACGCCACCCATGAACGTCGTATACTGTCTGTCTCAAACTTGCAACATACCAGACAAGACCGAATGCCCCTACAGACATCTCAGTTAGTCTAGACATCAAGTAGATCGAAATGATGGTTAATGCTCACCCATTCCAACGGGCTGCAGATCGACATAACGAGTAGTTACCTATGAAATCAGCAAATCGTGAACCAATCGTTTTCAAGGACATACACAGGCAACACACCTCGAAAGAGGTGCCAAATATGCTCAGCTTGACAAAAGACATGGACAGACTGGCGTAGAGTTAACACGAGGTAGATGAAAAGATAAAAAGAGATTCGGCAGTCAGTAGAAAGGTTTACACAAGTGCGTTTATTGACTTGATGATGGCGAGGAGAGAAAGATGCTAGATAGTGATGACCACCGAACCTGAATCTAAGATTGGATATGAAACGCTACTGCCAGGGGTCTCGTGACGCCCTAGGCCTCTAGAGCTCTCCAGAGTCCCGATTCCGCACTGCGGAGAACGACCTCGTTGGACTCTTCTGATCTTAGAAATGTTTGGAGTCAAAAGTCAAGGGAATTAATGTTGCAAATATCGTGGATAGTGACTGCTGCAAGTGCCAGTGACCGGGGGCTCCCAGAAACACAAGTAGCGATCAGGTTCTTGAGATCGATCCGAAGCAAACACGAGGTGCAAAACGGAAAGAATTCGGTCGCTTGTTGCCAGAAATAAGTCACACAGCTTGAACGCGAGCTGTGTTGGCTTTACGAAACGGCGTCCGTCGTAACTCGTGGGCTTGTCTGACAATCATTTGATTCTCAGGCTGCGACCGAATTTGCCCGAAACACGAGCATCTCATCCACTACAATGTCCTTCATTCGAGCAGCGACGCTGGCCCGTTCCGTGGTGAGCAATTATGAAAATTTGTTAGTCTCAGTCTCATGTGTGTAGGCAACGAGCAGTTGTAGACGTTATTCGACCGAAGCTGGTGCCAAGAAATCATCCAACCTCGGACTTTACCTTGGTGGTGCTGGTCTCGTAGGTCTCGGCACGTATGTGTACATGGGCTTTAGCAAGGGGGAGGCAGTAACTGCCAAGAAGGACCTGAAGAGTCCTCTTGACCCGTCAAAATTTATTGACCTCAAACTGAAGAGGGTGGAGCCTTGCAATCACAACACCTCTAAGTGAGACCTTGGACTACTTTTTATATACAACCCCACGCTCATATCTGTCCCTCAGATTTGTGCTTGAGCTTGGGAAGGGCGAGGCTTCGCTTCTTCCAGTTGCTTCCTGTGTTTACATAGAAACTCCCGACTTTAAGGATGACAAGGGTCAACCTATGTATCGCCCGTACACCCCCATTTCAGCGTCTGATTTGGAGGGAGAGCTCATTTTTATCATCAAAAAATATGAGACAGGCAAAGTCTCCAAACACATTCACTCTCTCAAAGCTGGAGACTCTCTCAAAATTAAAGGTCCTCTGGCAAAATGGCCTTGGAAGAGTGAATATGGTTTTTCGATATTTTGGAATGGTTGGATTCTCATCCTCTTTCAGTGAATGAGCTGGAAGAAGTCGGCCTCATTGGTGGTGGAAGTGGAATGTAAGGATGTCGGTCTCCGTTATACTTACATTACTGACTTTGAATGCGTAATCACAGTGCTCCGCTCTACCAGGTCCTCCAACATGCTCTTGCGGACAAGACGAACAAGACGAAGTTCAAGCTTTTGTACGCCAATGTTACTGAGCAAGATATTATACTTCGCGAGGAGTTCGACGCCATGAAGAAAAAGTACCCCGACACTTTCGATATCGTATATGTCCTCGACAAGGGCGATGCTAGCTGGAAGGGTCCCACTGGATTCATTGGCGCTGACCTCATTAAGCAGCACATTGCTCCGCCATCACTGGGCGAGAAAGTGAAGGTCTTCATCTGCGGTATGCACAACACATTTGGAATCCGCTGGCAATCACTAAATGCTCCATAGGTCCTCCTGGACAGGTTGCCTCAATTGCAGGCAAAAAGAACGGCAGGGAGCAGGGTGAACTGAATGGTATCCTTAAGGAACTGGGTTACACCGGAGACCAGGTAAGTGACCATGCTACCCAACCTATCATTCCCTTGAAATATTTCTTTGTCAGGTTTACAAATTCTGAGCAGCAGGTACCAAGTAGATACCATATAGAAGTCCTACGACAATCAAAAACCTGTTCTTGCAATCGAATATGAACTTAGAGGTATCGAAACCTTATTGAATTTACACTGTTCCACCTTTCACCCATCAACTTCAAATCGCGTGCGCGCTGACAGAATGGATTCTCTATGCACAATCATCTGCGGCGCCCTATATCGCTTCGCTAATGCTCCATAGATGATTCCCAGCTGGCAAGTCAGCGTGAAACTGAGTGTGAAAGCTCTACATCCGTGCTCCCCCATCTACATCAAGTAATATCAATGGAGCGATTGCTCCCTTTTATCTTATATCTCTGCACTGAACCACATTACAAAGGGAACTACTGAACACTACTATGATGGGGACTTGTATTACATAAGCATACGCGTACTTAGTCTACTCGATTTCATCTCCCGTCACTGAGTAATTGGGCGTCTGAATTTGCATGATTCAGATCCGAGCAACCAGTGCGAGTCTCGGTTAGCCTGCACAACGACAAAGCTTATCTCATCGTGTTATTCGTGCTGCACGGCTACTCCTTGACAAGTTGAATCTCGACAGCTTATCCGTCATATTCGGCGCGCAGCATGATGGACAATAACAGCGGTAGCAGCAGCAGCAGCAACAATAACAAGTCCGTGCGCCGCCAACCGGCTTCCCCGGTCACAGAAGCTCCCAAAGCCCCCGGGACAGTTTCTCCAGAAACCTTTTACGCGTCAGCTTCAAAATCGAGCGCAGGGCTCACGCCTCCACCATTGCCACTGCGCCCGAAGAGCTCTGCAGGATCGGCCCACACAAAGGTCAACATCGAACCTCCGCCAACCTATGACACTGTATTCCGCGAGCCCCAGCTCGTCTCAGAGGATACAATCGGTACCGATCAAGTCCCTGCGCTCATTCCAGCCGACGACCATCATAACTGGCCGACTGTCGAGCACAGGTGGGCCGAAGATGACTGGGGAAGAAACGATGCTTGGAATGAACCGATACCGTGGGACAGTTCATGGGCCGGTGGAACGTCGCAAAAGGTCATGGATCTTGATGCGCGGGACCAGGAGGAGGAGACGAACTGGTGGGATGCGGAACTGCGGGGAACAAGAAACCGCCCAGGGCCTGGAATACTACCGCCTTTGGTTGCTGAATTGTTGCACAACCCTGAACATTCATTGTTCTCGGTAAGCGTTACCGCGCCTGACATAAGGCCGACTGGGGATGCATCCCCTTTCATTCCCCCGAGCCATGATGAAATACTTCGCGCTGTCCCTCATGCCAATACATACTACTGCAGACGACACCATGGTTGGGTGTTCCTTCAGTGGAAAACATCTGCTATTGTCCCTCCCTTTGCAAAATCATTCGACCCCAAACAGCATCCACCCCTCCCTGACCAAGACCGTCGTAAACGCACCGTCACTTGCGCTGACAACTCTTTCGATAAGTCCAAGAAAACACATCACTTTCATTTCTATCCGAAGGCCGTTGATTCGGGCCAGCTCAATCCAGCATTCCATCGGGCCCCCTGGGAAGTCGCTGCGCAGAGGAAACAGAGGCGTCGGAAAATCACTTCTGTCAATCTCGATGACTATGCGTTCAAAGAATCAGATGTCAAGATGAACGAAGACCTGCCCGAGGGACATGTAGAGGGCGAACTGCTTGATCTTTATGTCTGCTGTCAGTGCTCCGTCTATTGCATTGCGTCAGAAGCTATGCCCGGTGTTATTGCTCTTAAATACGTGGAGGATTTCACAAGATATAGACATGAACACCCTGCCATCGGGAGGCAGCCTGACGAATCTGTTGTCAGTGGTTGGGAGACACTGATCACGTACGCCCATCAATTCACTCCGTGATGGTATTTTCATCTCTTTACAGAATCATCGAAAACAAATTATGGAAAGGCAAGAACGGCCAGCTCCCTGTTTCTGGGAAGACGTTCCAGAGCAAGATCGGGTGGTCCCCAACTACGTCAGGAGCTTTCATTTTGCTGTTATTCAATGCAACTGACGAATTCATTTGCAGGAGCTATATCTTCAAGCAACTTGGGTTCGAGCTCATTACACGCACCGAAGCTCCAGGCACGCCTGAGGAGAGGACAGACGAATTTTTGTCACCCCCAAATACTGAGCCCAACAGTCCAGAAGGTCAGGAGGCACGTATGAAGCTTCTGCGTTTCTGGGTCGAGACGAATGCGTATCTCGTAGACTACCAACGTCGCTTCGGTAAGAAAATACTGCTGATTTCCTGTATTACTCACTCATGGAACGCAGCATCTGCACTCAAGCACTATACGCCGCACCCTTTGTACGTCAAAATCGACGGTGCCCGAGAGATGTACCAACAGGCTATCGGTGCACACCCTGATCAGAGTAAGACCAAATTTTGCTGTGTCAGAAGGCAGACCTGAGCTGTATATACAGTCCCGAGATCGTCCTCGTCGTATCCGTTAGGTTCATTGGCGGAGTATGCACCTCTACTGCAGACGTGGAAGACGTTAGGAATAACCCCCACAACATTTTCTCCGGGTAAGCAGTTAAAACAGTCCACTCGTTTAGATCTGCTCGGTGTTAACGGTGCTCAGATATTCTCATATTCGCCTATTTGGCCCAATGCCGTTGTGACCCTGCCAATACGATACTCTACTTCACCCACTTCTACGCAATCATCGCCGCAATCCAATCTCTCGGTGGTGTTCCGTCTCAGGAATTGCAGACCCTAGTTTTTGAAGAGCGCTCTCGTGGGCGATTCACGGAAGAGGACCTGCAAAACGCTGCCGCAGTTCTTGGATTTGGCAAGGACGGCGCGCTACGCTTGGAGCTTGAAGATGACATTGAGGACGACTTCCTTGCGGAAGCATGGCGGACGGCCATCAAAAATGCCTGGCGTGACGCGAAGGACTGCACACAGCTCCAACGCGACGCGAACGAGGCGTTCAGAATCATTGCACAATCAAGGGGTAGTAAGAAGCTTATAAAGCTATTTTCTGAGTCATCGAAGAACCAGATGGACCCTTCACGTGCATACTCGGTATTAGAGGTTTCCGCGGATGTAGATGACTGAGCTTGTGTTGACGGTGTTCATGATGCGGGTATGCGAGGCTGCGTGGCTTCAATTGCGGTTCTGATGAATATCAATAGGTCGAGGAGCAGCCCCATCAATCTGATAAGTGGCGCGAAGCGTTGAGAACAATTGCAGAAGTGAGGGATAGCAGCCGGTTGCGTCATTTCCTAGAAGAAGGCAAAGATCGTAAGTACCTGCCCAGGTTCATTTTGATATGCTATTTAACCGAGGCTCTTTAGCTGGAGATATCGTGGCTTCAACTCGTGCTGATCTTCCAAGAGGCCTGAATCAACTTGGAAACACCTGTTATTTGAACTCGTTGCTCCAATACTTCTACACAATTAAGGAGCTTCGTGAGGCTGTCGCTTCTATGGCCAACATTGACGTGAAGGCCCTTGAAGACGAGAAGTACACGGAGGACGACCTTAAACGGCATCGAGTTGGCGGACGGCTAATTACGCGGCGCGAGATACTGCGATCGAAAAAATGTACGTTTGTCATCCAGTCCTTATCCTCCAAGCTAAAATTATCATCGATGTAGTTGTCAGTCATTTGGCCGATTTATTTTGGCAGCTCCAATTCTGTGAAAACCAGGCTGTCACACCGACCATCGATCTTGCCAAGTTAGCACTCGTAACATCAAGAGACGAAGAGGAGGAGGAAGCTGACAGAGGTGGTACTGATTCCTCAAATGACACAGATGCGACGCTTGTTGAGGACGGGCCCGTGCGGTCACCTGACTCAAATGGCTCGGTGCTCGGCAAGCGGCCACGCGACGAGCAACGCATGGACATGGATGTTGACACACCCATGTCCCCTATTACGGAAGAGAAGAATGGGTACGTCATGATATCCCAGCCGTCTCCGCCTCGTGGGTCCAAGTCTCCTCGCTTGCATGGGGAAAGCTCGTCAAGCACGATGCCGCTGCCATCCCCGGTTCCAGATGTGGAAATGGCGAACCACGAGAACTCGCAGGTTGAGGAGCAGAAGAAAGGCTCCTCCCTTACCTACACGCAAGCCTACTCAGTCAGACTCGGTTATGATGTTCGGTAAGTTACACTGTACTCTGAATGATGTCATATCTAAATACTTGACTTTAGGAAAGCAGCATGATGTTTCTGAATGCATGGACAATTGCATGTTCCAGATCGAGATCGCGCTTCTGAAATTCGATGGACTGGGCGACTCGGACAATCAGAATAGCGTTGTGAAGAGGCAAGTAATTTGAATTCCATCAAGCACATACATGAACTGTGATTTACTAGGCTATTCTACGGGAAATTGCGGCAAAGGCTTACACAAGTCCCTGCCCAGCGGCATCCCAGAACTTCAACACACGAGAAAGAAGACCTCTTCTCGCATCTTCCCGTGAATGTGGCCGATAACGGCTTTGATATCTATGATGGCTTGAGCGGATACTTTGACGATATCGTTGATTACGAAGGCGAGAAAGCTAGAATGGAGGTGACACTGGTTGATCTACCGCCATTATTGCAGATTCAACTTCAGGTAAGTGCCTACCCGGATAGCTCGGCGATGTATTAAACAAGTCAACAGCGCGCGCAATTCAACAGAGAGACCCTCCAACCGTACAAATCGCAAGCCTATGTCAAATTTGGCGAGACGATATATGGACCGGTTCCTTGATACCGCAGATCCAGGCAAGAGGGCTAGGTCAAAGGAAGTACAGGCGGAATTGAACACGCAACGTGAACGCCTGCGCTTGCTGACACAGGACAAGGTAAAGCCTCCGTGCATATTTCCTGTAAATTAACCACATAGAGTACTTCAGCACGCACCTTTCCCTGCATCACTCAAAAACACGCTTGATTTCTTGTCAAAGCAAGAAACGCTTATTCTCCCGGATGTCGATGAAGAGCTCGTCGCGAACATCAGTGGCGAACAAGATATGATCGAGGCTGAGATTATCGAACTCAAGAACACGATATCGAAGCTGAAGGAGGAGCTAGAGGATATTTGGAAGGATGATACCTCGGTCGCATACGAGCTGACCTCCGTCTTCATACATCGTGGCTCATCACCGTCATTTGGACACTACTTCTTCTATTCCCGACATGTACCGGAACGACCTGATAACTGGTTCAAGTACAATGACCATCAGGTTACAGAGGTGCTGAAAACCGAGGTCTTGGCTGATACCACAGGGTCCACTGCAAATCCGTACTTGGTTAGTATGCGCATAATGCCATTATTGATGCGATTAACTGACTGCTTTCTAGCTTGTTTTCGCAAAGAAGGACCGGGACATTGTTCGTACCGTAAATCGATTTGATCCGATGGCTTTAGAGGATATTGATACATGATCTGTAATGCTGATATCCTATGATTCCTTTCATGCACTAGCTGTGTCCCTCTAATCCCGGAGGATTTGAACACATGCCGCGATAGTGCAATTTCAAACTTTCAATTGCCATTTGTGGACTCTTCTATGACCTACAGCGTGGATCTCCTACAGACACACTATGCGTTATAGAGATTTGAAAAGTCTGACGGTACTCATGTCAGGGGCACCCTACAACAGTTGTAACAGGGCCAGACATGAGTACTACTCTGAGGACTGCGACCCCGTGCTTATCCTCGCATGGGTCAAACAACATCTTTCTCGAGATTAAGTAGGTATCTGAAGAGTGATTCGGAGACATGACTAACATTGATGGCTTTGTCATGCGTTATGACTGATGATGGATATGTTTGAAGAACTTGCTGAAGGTCGGTTGTGATTATTCCGGGCACGTTGTGAATGACTGCGACAAGCGGTACAGAACAGTATTAAAGACAGGTATATGATCAACAAACTGTGTGATCACTCACTGCAGGGACCATCTTGCTAGCGCGAGAGGGTAGGCTCGTCGGTAGTTGTCTTGCTCTCTGTTGATGAGGTGGTGACTCGTTCTGCCTCTTCTGATATCGTCTTCTCTGTAATGCTCGCCTCATCACGGGTCTCAAGGGATGTCAAGAGATTATCCAAGGTTCCCAATATCCCGTCCAATTTCTCTTCAATGCCCTTGGCCATACCATCAGCACTCTCCAGACGTGCCAGGATTTCCATCAAGTCTTCTGTTTCATGACTACCGTCCAATGAGCCGTTTAACAGAAGAGTGTTCAAATGAGCGATGTCTGCTTCAAGATTGCTGTCTAGTCTATTGTTTAAAGGACCGTTGGTTCCAGTGTCGGCGTTGTTGTTGTTGGACATAATGATGCGGAACAATCTTTGAAGTGTGACATAATCTAAGTTAAAGACTGCTGACACGGTGACGAACGGCATCTCGGCACGAACTTTGATTGTAACGACCTCGATGAGCTCACAAACGCAGAGTGTTCAATTGTTGCTCAATTCTTTCCCCCAACGTCCATTCGATCAGAAATTATTGCATGAACTGGTAGGAAAAGAGGTCAAGAAGTTCCAAGGCGAGTCTTCCGCAGACAATGTCAAATGTCAATGGGAGTTCCTCCTTAAGAATGAGGTATTTACCTTAGCAGTACGTGCTCGCTTTCTTGGCTTTCATCGCTCGTGATCAATGATTTTTGCAGGTAACTGAAGGTAGTGCACTGCAGTGCGACAGCACTTTGTATTATGATGGTCTCCGCGACAGACTCGACTTGGTACTGACATTCACCGAACACGGTTTGTGGTCTCTGACTGCAGTTTGTATACGAGATGCTCACTTCATAATAGATGTATGCGAGACAACCTTCCCTTTTACTGTCCTTCAGGATCTTCTTGAGACACAGACTATCACGTCTTGCTCACAAATATTCTCTTGGATCGAGTCAAGTGCTTCTCGACTCACCAAGGACATGGTCCCACAGAAGGGCAAGGCGCTCATACTACTGCGCACTCTCAATGATCTTCTGCGTCGCCTCTCAAAAATGGGCTCTACGACGATATTTTGCGGTCGTATATTGACCTTCCTGAGTGGTGTTTTCCCACTGGGTGAAAGAAGTGGTGTCAATTTACGAGGAGAGTATGGGCCTATGTGGGAGGGTGTCAAAGACATTGAGAAAAAGGAATATGTGGAGACAGTCAAGGGCCCTGAAGACAACCAAAAAATGGAGGTAGACGGTGGAAAGAAGGAATCTGCAGATTCCAAAGACAAGGACGGTAGGTCAGAGCTCTGTCGTGATGTTGTGTGGCTCATGTCATTTTCAGGTTTCTACACTACGTTCTGGTCGCTGCAACTGCCTTTCTCCCGACCCCCATTGTTTGCCTTCCCCAATACATTCGGAGAATTCAAGGATGCTGTGGACAAAGTTCTACCCGTCATCAAGGAGGCGACCACGAAGGAGCGCGCCATGATGGGCAATAGAGGCGCCGGTGGTGCAAGCAGCAACCTAAAACGCAAACGAGAACCAGAGTTGGGTGAAGCAAGCAATAATAGCGAATACTTCTTCGCAAAGTTCTTGACAAGTCCAGACCTTCTCAATCTAGAGGTATTTATCCGCTTTGTTAAACATGCAAGTCACTGAAGTTTCGTAGATTGCAGATACCCATTTTCGTCGACAGGTCCTGTTCCAACTCCTCATCCTCCTTCACCATCTGTTATCATTCACGAAAGTCACAAAGACCGTGTGGTCCACGCCCAGGAACAGATCTCTCCAAATGGACTTTACGCTTGAATCTGCAGATGCGCAGTGGGTCCATGACACCATCACAAAGGTGTCCGCGGAGCTGCGGTCCACCGCTCCAAACGGTCCCACATTCGCCGACACCGTAAATGTTATTCTTGACCGGGAAAAGAACTGGGTGAAGTGGAAGAATGACCTTTGCGCACCTTTTGATAGGGAGCCATGGTCAGCTGAAGTAGGGTGGCAGAAAGGTAGGGATGGAGGAGGCCACGAGGGAAGCTCGGTTGAAGAGAAAGGAGGGTTCTGAGCCGTGGAAGTGGAACCTAGGATCTGAGTCGCTGACTGAGATATGGGAGATGGGGTACAGGGATTTGTCCGACCTGCAAAGTCCCTTCCAGTTAAGGATTTCACATCTATTCAATGACTTCATGCTGACTGACTGGGCAGACCTGGTGATGTTAAGGATTTTGTGAAGAAAGTCAAGCAAGAAGATGCTCGCATTGAAATGCGCAGAAAGCAGCTTATGAAGAATGCTGAACGCTTAGCTCAAGCGCGAGCCAAGGCAGTTGCCTTGCAAGAGTCCACTGCACGGCAAGAGACACCAGCTCCCGCATCAACACCAGCAGAGCCACCCAAAGTGGAGCCGCCAACAGCTTCGTTATCTGCTTCGTTATCTGCACCCAGTGTCTCCAGCTCGCCCTTGCATCCATCCCTACCCCCCAAACCTTGTTCATCCCCAGTAAAGTCGTTCCTAGAAGCAGGCGCATCAAGTCCTGCTCGCCTTCCAATCGCTCTTGCACCACCGTCCTTAACGGTAGCAGCATCCACACCGACTCCGACTCCAGCTGCAGCCCCGGCCTCAGAAACTTCCTCTGTCACTGTTCCACCACCCGCCCCTTCTCTTACTGATGACCAAATAGCTCGATATGAAGAGGTACAAAATACAGTCATTCTTCCATGATCTCACTGATATGTTTGAACAGAACAGACAACGCTGGTCATGGCTTGCATTGCGTACAGCACGAGATCAATATCTGCAGCATTTCGGCAAGATCGGTACGGGAGACGTTGTATTACTTGCCAATGAGATAGAGGTAGAGAAGGAACGTGATAAGAATCAAAAGACGCAGAAGACAGAGGATATGATACCTACCCTGTCAGTCCACGCAAGGACACGAGGACCGCAAAATCAGCAAGGCAGGTGATGCCACAGTGGCTATAGGGATTCCATTGGATGCTGAAGGGGATGTGAAGATGGAAGATCGGTGATGTCCCGAAGACAATTCGAAATTTCGGAATTCGCTTCGCAGTTCAAATTGGGAGGGTGCATACAAGGCTCGATTGTGCTATTTAATTGTTAAGGGCTTTCTCAGTATCCTACTACTTTTCCATGTCGTACTTAGTTCATAATGCACTCGCAAAAGTCTATCCAGTGCTTGCCGAGGCGCAGTACACACCCGTGATCGCGGCCGTGTCCGCCAAACTTCGGGATGAATTCACATTACAAGTCGGTTGCCAACATTCCGTAAATTCTGCTTTCTTCAACCTTCGACGATGTCCACATCCACCGGTTTGCGAGTGCGTACTCAAATTGCGTGCCTCATACTTTGGATAGGCTCATATTTTGTCGTCACAGCGTGTCCTGGTGACTGGTGGAGCTGGCTACATCGGTAATTACCTCGGGGGACGACCTGTTCAGCTTGCGTTTTAACCGAAGTTTTATCGATTATCCAGGCTCACATGTAATCTATGCTCTACAACAGACAAGAAGATACAAAGTCATCTCTGTCGACAACTACCACAACTCATTCCCTGAGTCGCTCACTCGTGTAGCCCAAATTGCGCGAGACACACTTCCAGAAAACTCGTCAGAGGCAGACAAGGAGAGCACAGAAATTGATGCATTTCAGTGCGACTTGACCAGCCCAGAGCAAATAAAGGGCATATTTGAACGCTATGACAAGGGTGGAATATGGGGTGTCGTTCACATTGCTGTCAGTACTGGTTTTTTAGTGCAGGTTGGATTGTTCCGAATGAAATTTTTCAGGCGTATAAAGCGGTCGGCGAGTCTGTTGAGATTCCCTTTGACATACTACGCGAACAACGTTGCTGCTACGGTGTCGCTGTTGCAAACCATGTCCGACTTTGACTGCACTCGCATTGTCTATTCATCTTCTGCTACTGTCTACGGAACACCCCCTGTGATCCCAATTCCCGAAACGACGCGTCTCAAAGCCGACAGCCCTTACGGCAAGACAAAAGTCATGTCTGAGATGATTATTGATGATTTGTGCCACGGTATGCGCCCCTTGCTGTACCTGAGATTTCACCAACATCCCTTCAGCTGAACCGAATAGATGGCGTGCCATCTCGCTTCGCTACTTCAAGTGAATACCTTCTTCCTGTCCATTGAGAAGTACTAACGCTGACTTGCCTACAGTCCTGCAGGCGCGCATCCCTCAGGGTTGATAGGCGAGGACCCCCGCGGTCGCCCAGGGAACTTATTACCTTTGCTAGCACATATGGCCATTGGGCGTGTAGACGATGCCACTCTGAAAGTGTTCGGAAATGATTACCCTACTCCGTGAGTTTATTCAATACCGCTCGCTGATGTTCAGAGTTCATGTAGGATTGTAGGGATGGTACCTGCGTCCGAGACTACCTCCACGTGCTTGATTTGGCCTCCGGACACTTGCTCGCTCTCGACGCACTTTCGCCTGAATCTACTATCTTCGATAACTGCCCCGATGATGCGCGCTACAAGGCATACAATTTAGGGAAAGGAAAGGGTATGAGTGTCCTTCAAATTGTTGAGGCAATGCGCAAGGCTACAGGATTCGATTTCAAATATGAGGTCATTGGAAGACGGCAAGTTTATTTCTCGCCCATAGTAATTATCCCTTGTTTACCGATTCTTAACAGCCGCGGCGATGTCCCTGATCTCACTGCAGATCCTGCGCTAGCTGAAAGGGAGCTGGGCTTCAAGGCACCGCAGCCTCTCGAGGTTATGTGCCGAGATTTATGGAACTGGCAGTCGATGAACCCTCAAGGCTATACCCAACAGTAATTTAGTGGTACAGGAGTCTATCTACACACTTTTAATCACGGATATATAGAAGATCAAGAGCGAACTTATTAGCATACCTGTAGTTGTGGCTTACCTGATGATCAGCTGTTGCGTGGATATTGAAGCGCTGAACATCATTCAGCACCGACAATCTGGTTCGTTCCTTCACCATCCTTCCCCTATACTTCACCGCTTCATCATATCCATGAGTCCGTCCACCTCATCAAGCACTTTATCAACGAGCTCCACTGCGAAGATTCACATGAGTCCCCTTCTCGAGACCTAACCTCGTCCATGCCTTCTGTTGGGGTGGGACTCTCTGCGTGGACGCCAGCGGTGCAATAGTTGGATCAACCAAGTACAACCCAATGATACGTTGGTGCCCCTCCTTTGACGGATCGACCAATGAGAACGGTGTGATGTGATATTGATACATATTAGGATATGCGATGCATAGTCCTTGGTGAATTGGGATAGCACCAATATACTGGTGACAAGGTTTTCTTGTCTGTAAACCCCTAGTCCTGATTGTTATGTCCTGGTAGTCGTTCTTGGGAAATGCAGGGCGGTGTCTCAACGACCATGCGAAATTCGACTGAGTTGGGAGAAATATTCTCCTAAAAATAGTTGAAGTTTTGGATAACAAGTCAAAAGATGCCATACACTCGACGAATTATAAAGGGCACAGGCAACGACGTGTTCGTTCTTCATGCCCTCTACGCGCCATTGAGAGCCCTGAAAGGCAGGGCCGCCTGGTTTCTACATGAACTCAATTTTAGGGAGTGGTAGCAGTGCGAGAAGCCAATCTTACGATGCAAATATCGTACACATCATGTATGACTTGAAGAGTCCTCCCCCTGAGTTGCACAATATTTCGGTGTTTTTCAAGCCCACCTGGGTAACCGGTGATCGAAACATCAGGCACAATCGACCGATGCATGATCCGCCGCCGCTTCTTGTTCTCAAACGCAGAGTAATCCACGGAGTCGCACGAAAAATCTGGAGGCTCCGGCTTCTTCCCACTCTGCTGACGAAGAAGGTCCCTGGATTCGCTCTTTGTTTGGGTTGTCCGCATGCAAGTCCGTGAGGACGTGCTCGAACATGGGAACACATTTTGAGAGCAACTCCTCGAAGTGGTGATAGAGCGTAGAGTAGCAAGGGTGGAGGTTATTTATGTACGAGAGAGCCTTTGCTGTGCCATCCTGAGAGATAAGAAAGTCGCAAGGCAAACATGCGAATTTTTGCGAGAGAAAATCTGGACTGGTCGAGTCTGTAGTGTCGGGCACTAGCTCAGGACGAAGAAACCCTTCCCTAGCTAAGTTGTAAGCAAGCGTTCGACCGTAAATGAGAGGATGCAGGTATGGATCTATAATGTGGCGCGTTAGCTCGTCTCCCTCGCGATGTGCCAGTTTGTGTGGAAGTGTTTCTAGAAAGCGAGAGAGCTGATAATTGAGGCTTGCGCACGCTGAGCTATCAAGTATAGCTTGAGACTCCCAGATGCGTTCAAAGCAAGAAACCTGACTGCTAGTATGTTAGAATGCCTATTGTCAATATCCAGAAAAGAGGGCCTGCCAATTATTCTCAACGTCGCGGGGACTTGCATAGCCCTGTAATTCCTCTAGAACATATTCAGCCTGTCGCGGGCGAGACTGCATTATTAACTCTCTACAAAATTCAAGCAAGTCTACCAACCTGATTAGGAGTCAGCAAGACTCTGAGGTTGTAGCCTGACTCTGCTTGTACAACCATGGCTCGACAAGAGCTTCGGCGGCCAACTGAGCGCGGGTTTCTGGACATTTAAATAAATGCCACCAGTCATCTCGACGTTGTATACATCTAGATAGCTCCGACATAGCCAAGTCTACCACTTGTGTGCGACTGAGGATCTATTGTGTGAGAATGAGTTAAATCTGCTTACCGTTCTGGCGGGATCGCTGACTCCGACTCCCTGCAGAATCCGTGCGTCATTGATAAAAGGATGAGGCCCAAAAGGCTCACAATCATACTTAGTCCCTCCGGTCATTCGATGACTGCGGCCGGGACAGACCAAGGTCATAATGTTAGTACAGCCTCTCAGGTGCCTTGTTGCCGCCACTATCCAACTGCCAAGGCTGTGGCGATGAACTAGGTACCAGCAGTGTAACGTAAGAATGTAATGAAAAGACCTCGGAAACCTCGTTGGCTCTGATAGTTGATGAGTAGCACCAGAGTCTGGAAAATAACCAACACCAGCATTAAATACGCCCCAAATATCCTTTGAGTACACTAGTATTTCATAAAGATAATTGTTTCAATTGGCTGAGACATTGCAAGTTGCAGGCAAACAGGCCATGTATTGTTTTCACTGCCCAAAAGCGGTAACAAGTACTACCGCCCAAAACATATCCTAATTTGGTGGTTCCATAATATCAGCCTGCTCCTCTCTGTGTAGTGGCATATATCATTAATAGCTAGAATACAATAGAACATACTGGACCGCAATATGTGGTAAAAATGCATCAGAGGGAGTGCATACTAGCAATAATACTTTGTGCCTATCAGAAAAAAAGTGGAAATATCAACAGACTTATCGTTGTGCAAGGTTCTTTCTTGCTTGCCGGGTGGTGAATGAAGTCTCCACCTCTCCTGTAACTGAGGTCATGCTCGTACGTTGCTGTAGGAACCGAACAATTTCAGAGTGGCAACAGTTCACATCATCACCGGTCACCATCTCAGGTCTTGCGCGAAGTATCTCACAATGTCATACTCAACGAGATCCTGGGTACAGAGAAGGGGGATAGAGGTACAATAAAATTAATTCGGATGCTTTCAATAAGGTCACCATACTTGGATGAGAACGGGACTCTGAGGAAAGAGGAGGGGAGGAAGAGAGGATAGAAGAGAAAAAAATGGGCGGAGGAAGCAGTGTACCATATTAATATTATACCGCTTTGGACGCCAGACTGACTCATTGAATGGTTCACGTAGACTCCACGGCTATTCGTACCATACCTATGCAGGCAGGTGTCCCTATATTCGTCCAGCGCATAGGGCACCGGGTCTTACTACTTTTGTTATTACTTATCCTAAAATGGTATATTACGTAATACTAAAATGACCTCAGCTAAGCGTCACAACGAACCACGAGCACAACGAAAGCCACATTCTCCTCACACCAGATAAATCTCGCGATGGTAAGTAACTGCAGGTTACTACGTTCAACCACAATTTTGCCTCACATCGCTCCCCACCCAGTCGTCGGGCTGGGAAATTCGCATGTCCAATTCGAAGGGCATACCGTACTACTTCAATGCTGTCAGCAAGCAATCAAGCTGGGATGCCCCCTCAGAGCTATCGGAGGATCAGATCAAGTCTCTTCCCGGCTCACAACACCTGAGTGGCGGCAGTAGCGGAGGTGCTGGGACGATCACGGCTAGTCATTTGTTGGTGAAACACAAAGACAGTCGGCGACCATCTAGTTGGAAGGAGGTGTGCATGCCTCTGCCTTTCGGAATGGGACATATGTTGATGTTGTATGCTCCTAGACAAATATCACACGCACTAAGGAAGAGGCTACTGACATTCTCCGAGAATATCAGGCCCAGGTTGGCAACTCGCGCGAGAAGTTTGAAGAACTGGCGAGTGTCCATTCCGATTGTTCGTCGCATTCCCAGAGGGGAAACCTCGGACCATTCTCGAAGGGTCAGATGCAAAAGCCGTTTGAAGACGCCGCGTTTGCTCTCCAGGTCGGAGAGTTCAGCGATATCATCAGCACAGAGAGCGGTGTGCACATCATTTTGAGAACGGCATAGCACGATTGAATGAGCAGTGGGGAATTTTATGCAGACGAAGGTGTTGTACGTCCATTAGATTGTAGCATTGAGCATGATATTACGTTTGAAGTCTATGCGACTGTGTTGCCGACTCTGATTTTTGAAGCTTCAGGTCCAGGGTTGAGCTGAAAGCCTGAAAGGGATCAAATATATATGCCATGGCGCCAGCACACCAGTCTGCTACCACATCATTTTCAGGAAGACACGTCCGCAATTTCATTTTAATATGAAGCTCAATGAGATTCTGAACGTTGGCGCCGCATGACACGGTGGCATGGAAGCAAGTTGGCCGAAGTGCACTACTTCGTTCATCACCGTGTCATCTTACCCTGATCAACTTGAAGTCATGGTATCGTCCCGAGTCTTTCCGTGACTAGGCCGCCTCCAGGTGATCTCATTAACAGTTTATTTCGCCAATTTATTTCATTCTCGCTACCATTTATGGTAGCTTGGGTCCTGAGGTCGTGCTCGGGTGCACATTGATTGTGGTATTTTGATACTACTTTTTTGCCTCGAGCAGCAGCCGTGTCTTTTGGTATTGACGGAGCGACAGTTATTACGTCTTAACTCTTGGGACAATAAATCCTCCATTTCGTTCATCTTCCATTTGCATTCTGTCACTACGGTGCGGTGTAACATCGTGCGCTTGACGGCTATTATGTCGTCGGTCGACCGATTTTTCCGTTCTTGTGGCGCGGACCAATTAGCTCACTCCTGTATGGTATTTTCAAAGGACGCGATTGGGTTGATTTGGCGTACTCCCGACTTTCACCCTTGCCTTCAGAATTTGGGTGTACAGTATGTGCACAGATTAATCATATTTGCGTCTCTGATAATCCTATAGATTTTGCTGTCCGTAATGAAAACACTGCTACCCAAGCGCAAGATTCTAGTATGGTCCTTGCCACATAGGCTGAGCAGTATATTTTTGGAACCGAATGCAAGTTTTATTTTTGGTGAAGATTCATATCGGCTCCATTAAATTGTGCGAGAGCGGTAGAGCATGGATTGTGTGTGGAGATGAATTGAACAACTGTTGCCTCATCATCTTTTTCATGGATTGTGCCATATCACTAATGCTTCAAGTCGCAATATAATAATGTTCGGAGGATGACCGGGAGTGTGCGGTGCGCACCACTTTCGAGATAATTTACGGAAGTATATAACACAGTGAGTTTCAAACTATTTATACACTTAAATCGTGCATACTCGGTACATTGTCATGACGGTATGTTCCGGGGCTAGCACTACATAGACGTGGAAATGTAGTGAGAGATGGCAACAACCGAAAAAAAAACTGGCTCAAAAACATCCAAATTGGGTATCGGTCTCGCCTTACATATATGCGAAGTTGTCGGCAAGATGTCGGAGTAAACCACGAAAAATATGGAGTATGCATATATGAGTGAAACAGCAGAAGCTCTCGCTCGTTAAGAGGTTTTAAATTGTGAATCCCCTCTGCTGCTCCGACTCGAGCTCAACATTGGCGCTGATATTGTTGATACACTGAGCTATCGGGCCATGAATATACTGGGTTTTCCTTCGTGGCACAAACCTTATTTGGCAGTTTAATCGCAGTTTATTTCGTCCTACACGCTCAAAAAAACTGGCGAAATAAACTGTTATTATCGAGTAGGATTTATGATATTCGGTTATTTCCTCGGCTCCTTGGAAACTTGTATGAGACAATGTATCTGAATGGTGGCAGGGCTAGACTTAATGGAAGACTGATATTCTTCCCTTATTATGGACCCCTGCGGCCCTCCGAGAATTTTTTCAAGTACTCATCCCCAACATCATTTTCATTGCCTACACAGCAAAATCATCTTTGGTCAAGTTTGCCATTTAATTTACCGACGTTGTTTCCCATCTCTTGTCATATACAACTTACACCCGAATTTTTGGCCAATCGAACATTGCAGGGCCAGCAGTTGCGGCGTAACGAGGACGACAGCCTTCAAAAGCCAGCCAGCACTATAAACGACCATAAATGGTCAACACCACGATGACGGACATGCCAGCAATTTTGGAACAAAGTCTTGCCACGTTGCAAACCTCGTGGATTCCAATCATCCTTGTGCCCTTTGCCTATCTGGCTCTATCACAGATATCAAAATCAGTAGGTACGCCATATTCCCGAGTGCTTCAGTATATTTTGGGAAGGTCATTGGAGTTTTTCTTATTTCAACTTGGTGCCTTCAGTCGCTTGAATTAATATCTGAACTGTCTTCTAGGATTGGGTGGTCGATCAGACAAGGGAAAAGCCGCCGGATCTCATGCTCCAGATCACTCAAAGTTTGATACGTCAAATATACGTGTAGCAAAAATCCTCATCCACCCCATCAAGGTGTGTAATTACGCTGATTTCCGCTGTTATCAGTATTGATTTCGTAGAGCTGTAAGGGCACTTCTGTTCCAGAGGCAAAGTACACTCTTGAAGGATTGGATGTCAGTGCATTAAATATGTTTCTGATAATAAAAATTGACTGCGTCATAGAATGATCGGAAATGGTGCGTAATAAGGGCAGATAATAATGTAGTCGTGACTGCCCGAGATGTGGCTAAGGTACGTCCTATGCTGTCAATAACACCCGAAGTCCAGTGGTCATTGGCACAATTTTGTATAGATGATTCTTATAAATCCTCGTATCATCCCGGATTCCTCATGTTCAGAAGGTGGCCGGCTCGAGGTATCTTTCCCAACGGAGTCGGGCTGTGAGGCCTTCTCCGTACCGTTAAATCCCACTGAGGAAGCACTTCAGGATTGGCAGAAGTGAGTACAGCTATATGTCACTGCGGCCCGATGTCTCTTATCTTCAACCATGTGTCTTCTAGCCTCGATATATCGTTGTGGGGTAAGAATGACATCGAGGGGTACGTATGTCAGACCAACATAGGAAGGTCGCCCTCGGAGATACTTTCGGAATATATGGGGTTGCCCGTACACTTGGCTATGAAGGGCTCGCGTCCGCGGATCTGTTCGCCTACTGAACGGTTTCCCGACCTAGATGCACCCTCATACTTTCAGGATGGGTATCCTTTGATGTTGATGTCCGAGGAAAGTGTTGCGGCCGTGCAGGGGCTGGTCAGAGGAATGGTGGGCATGCAGGGCATAGAAGAAAGGTGGTCCAGCGAGAATCTACAGATAGAAAGGTAAACTCATCTATTTTCGGTCCGAATGCTGGGGGCTCGTGCGACTTCGGATTGTTGCTCGTATTGCTTGCTTAAATAATTTTTGCTTGCAGGTTCCGCCCTAACATAATCATTAAAGGAGCCGGCGCACCTTTCTTCGAGGATATACTCACTGAATTCACTGCCGATTCTCATCGCGAGAGTGTAGACAAGGCGTCACCAATCATTCGGCTTGTGTCTAAGTGTACTCGTTGCATGGTGCGAATTTGAGACCGATTTTTCTTTTAAAAATAGGTGCTGATTATTTCGCTTTCGCAGCTGCCAAATGTACATCCCGAGACTGGTATACGTGACAAAGCAGTGCCATTCAAGGTTTTAATGAAGCATAGAAGAGGCCTGGATCCTGTGCAGCCCAGCCAATCGTGTATGGGGTGCAATGGGGTTCCCACCGCGAATGGCGTGGTGAAGGTCGGCGATTGGATCCACGTGCATAAGATGGGATTCGTATGACTTCAGTCATCTTTTGAAGGTGTTGTCATTTTGATGTATCTATTGCGTACCCCATAGTCTTATCGGCTTCAACGCCAAGTAGAGATTTGATTTGATTTATGCTAGGCATTATGAAATACCTGCGTGCTGCCACGGATTATCTGATGCGGTACTCTTGGCAGTGTTGACACGGTGAACCTGGTAGCTCCGCATGATGCACCAAGGTTACCTATTCGACCCAAAATGTTGACAAATCAAAGGGTCTGATGAGCAGGCGTGAGATAGTGGGAGTATTTCAAGGTGGGGACCAGTTCAAGACGGCAACAAACTGCAGGAACACACCAATGCGAGAGTGATCGGCGCTACGAGTTTCAGGCCAAGATTTCATTGACATGAGTAGCACAAACTCCAAGGGGGTCAAATGAACAAAGCCCGGCAAGGTACGGATGCATGGACATGTCATGGATTGCAATTGGGTACGAGAGCCAGGGGTACTGTTAGCTCATTTTGGAAACACAAGCCAAATAAAGATGGGGGCCGTCGGCATGCCACGCTCGTAGACCCAACATTAGATAACATGAAATCTGCGCATGTCTGATATGCAGTCACCAATGGAGTATCTAGTGAGCGCCAGTGCTGGTTGCAATATGCTGCAGCACATGTGAGCTTGCGCCTCTGCAGTGCCTTGGTCTGCCACGCGAGAAGTTACCTTTTTTAGAACGGAGCAAGGGGCCCGGCTGTCGGTTGAGTGGACTCGGAATCCATGTCAGTAACTTGTTTGATGTACTCATAACGAGGTTTCTCTGCCGTAGCAATCTTCCCCCAATTCCGAGTCTGAACCGCCATCATCTTCTCCCGCAGAGCTCGTTAACCGAGCACTGAACCATGGCTATAGGGAAATGGAACCCTTTTGGTCAACCTGTACTACAAACCACCACCGACCATCCCGTCCCGCAACCGTTGCCAATCCCTTGTCCCGATGGAAAACAGTTTGGTCTAGAGAATGTATGTCCTCTAACTTCTCAATTTCCACCAATGATCTTCATTACCATCATTCCTTTAGTTTGGCAACACATGGTACGATCCCTTCATTCCCACACCCCAACCGCTCGCTGATGACCCAAAAGTTATGCCAACTCTGTCCTACAAGCTCTATATTTTTGTAGTCCCTTTCGAGAGCTCATAATTCAGCATGCAGATCCGTGCGCCGTTATCCAGGAAGCTCTTTCCTCTCAGTTCACTCCCAGTGCCGCTCCCGCCTCCCCAACTGTTGCTGCCCGTCGGAAGCCAACAGAGCCCCAGCCTGTACAGGAATCTCCCCAAAAAACCGGTATTGTGAAACCTCCGACACCACCGATCCCTTCATCACCACGGACCTTGATGTCTGCACTTCGCTCCTTGTACATCCACATCTCCCAGAATCCAGCTGATAAAGGCACCGTTGCCCCCCGAGCATTCATAGACAAACTCAAAGAATTAAATGAGGCATTTAGAAATACCATGCACCAGGATGCCCACGAATTTTTAAACTACCTTCTTAACAAGATTGTTGAGGAAATAGAAGAAGAAAAGAAGTTCCTGCAGGTTCCTATCGACGATTGTATGTGGAAAAACCAGATTTCAGAACACCCGTTGTTTCTACTGACGCCCCAAATTGTCAGCGGCTCATTCAGTCAAATCGTCATCTACAACCTCCCAACCGTTGGTAATGACAGCAAGCACGTCGAGCTACAGGCAATCCGCCGACGGGAGCTACATTTATACACCAGATATTCGAGGTATACTGACTAGTGAAACTCGATGTCTGACATGCGAGAATGTGCGTTGTCATGATTCTTACTGCTGCGCTTGCTGATTGCGCACAGGTATCTTCACGTGACGAATCATTTTTGGACCTCTCCATAGATATCGAACAGAACTCGAGCGTGACAGCATGTCTTCGACAGTTCAGCGCTAGTGAAATGCTCTGCCAGAGAAACAAGTTTTTCTGTGACGGATGTTGTGACCTCCAGGAAGCGGAAAAGAGGTATTTAATATCTACTTCATCCAGATTTGATACTGACGGTCACGTCAGGATGAAGATAAAGCGACTGCCCAATGTTCTCGCTCTACATCTCAAGCGCTTCAAGTATCAAGAAGATGTACAAAAGTACATCAAGCTGGCTTATCGCGTTGCATTTCCCTTCGAGCTCCGCTTGTTCAACACTATAGACGATGCTGAGAACCCTGATCGACTGTACGAACTCTTCGCCATAGTGGTTCACATCGGAAAGTACGTCCCCTGTTGCGTGTGACGCTCGTTATCTGTAATTGCTGCTGACACGCCTTTCTTCCCTCGTTCGTCTTTGTAAATATAGCGGGCCAAACCATGGTCACTATGTCAGCATCATCAAGACGTTGGGTACCTGGCTCGTATTCGACGATGAAACAGTGGAGTCGATCAAAGAATCCGACATACCCAAGTACTTCGGCGAATCTAATTCGGGCTCCGCCTATGTACTATACTACCAAGCTGTGGATCTAGACCTTGTCGCCCTTGATCTGTGTCCGACAAGTCCAAGTGCTCCTGAGGAGCATTCACATCAAGGGCTCCCTGCAGATTCTCCCGCATCGCTCTCACAACCTATACCATTGCCACCCGGGTTGTCTGCAGAACCTGCAGAGGCAGAAAATGTTGAGACTTTCCCTCTACTGCCCCCGCCGTCTTTACCCATAAATATTCCCGTTTCTCCTGCTGAGACACCACCACGTAAAATCCCCTCAGACTTTATGAAACCTAGTCCTCCCTCAGTACCTCCACATCATGCAACATTTGGTCGTAGCTCGTCACTGAAGCCGCCCTCGCCAGCTCGCAATGGCATACTCAAACATGTCCCCTCACTGAAGGTCGGTGCAGACAAGCGTGACATGGCTGCAAAATCTACTGCTCCCTTCCCTAAGGCCGAGCCATTAGATCCGCTTTCACCTGTGCTACCTGTCCCTACTCCACTGAGCCCGAACGGCAAGGAAAAGGAAACAGAGAAGAAGAGCACCTACTGGTTCCGAAGGAAAAGTCTTAAATCGGGAGGGAAGTCACGTCCAAGTTCGGAAGCCGAGACAAAGAAGATTCCGTTGCCTCCTGTCGCTCCCTCGGGTGCCTCATCATCACCGTCGAGGTTCCACAATACTGGGTCGACACCGAAGCATTATAAGGATGACAGTTTTGGACATCCTTCGGAGCCGGCAGGTCTTGATCGTCCTGTAGCGCCCTTCATGGTCAATCGTCGTCCTTCGTCCGCTTCTGGTCTTGTCCGGGCATCATCGCATAGTATGAACAGTCGACGAGATACTTCGCCTTCCATCTCAGGCACTACGTCATATTCTTCACATACTACAAGCTCCTCGTCATCGGCATCTCCTGATCTTCACTCACACACCATTCGCCCCTTGCCAACAATACCTGCCTCTCCGCAAAACTCGAGGATAGTGCAATCCCCTCCTTCAGCTTATACTCGAGGACACTCATCTGACCATCCACGACCACACAAACGGCCAGCGGTGTCACCTCATGCCTTTGAACCACCAAGATCACCTAAAGTCCCAGCTCGGCCGACGACTGCAGGTGCTACGCTTGGTTCACGCTCCTCTGCAACTATACCTCATGATTATGATCTTCCTCCATTGCCAGGTGCTATGAGTGATCCATACAATGGGACGTATAGTAACACGCCCATGACACTGCCTCGTTCAGACAACGGCAAGACGCAGGCGAAAAGTAATTTGTACGAGGAAGGCGCGACAGGCTTGTCTGGACGGCCAAAGTCAGCACATGCGTCCACCGCCCTGGAGGCAGTTCCACAATCTAGCGCTTCCGCCCCGACTACTAGTGCTATGAAGCGGGCAAGTCGGAAGATGAGCTTCACCGCATCATTCCCGTTCGGCCGCAAGGATAAGCAGCGCGAGAAGGGGAGAGAGCTGGAATAAGTGTCCCGGGCTGGTTATTTGATCACCCACCCCTCGCCTCTCACTCGTCCAGAGCCTGACGCGCGTTGAACATGTATCCTATGGTAAAGATGTGTTTACCTATATCTTGTCTAATGATCTTCGTTCCCATTTTCTTGCATAAGCAGCTGCCTCATGAAGTCTATTTAACTACAATCGCATACGCTGTTTTTATTCGTGCAAAGTGGAGAGTTCTTCTGTCGCGCGTATCCTACCGCTCCATCATCATCATGACTCGTTCATATCTAACCTACGTCGTTGCGTCTGTATCAATTTCATGTGTATGTTAGAATAATGACCAGAGAGAAACAACAATAAAGTCATCGCGAACTGGGTATACTAGTATACAATCAGTGAATTTTACAATATAACAAGTAATTAGCGCTTAGTGCTTTGGCTGTCAAGTCCTTCACGCGAGCAAGTCCATTGATATAATTCACAAATCAAGCATGCGCTCATCCTCCAGAGGGATCGGATAACGCTGCCCATGTATCGCTACAACATAACTTTGAGTGTATGGCCAATTGAATACGAACTTCAACTCACTTTCCACGGGTGTTTCTGCCATATCAAGTATATGCAGCATCGTCTCGTGTGGCTTAGAATAAAAGATACGCCCAGTGCCTTCGTCCCAGGCTATCGCTGTCACACCACTGCGAATATGATCAAGGATATATGAAGGCAGATTAAACTGTCCGAGCATATTTTCGCGGTGCTTGGGAACATTTCGGAGAATATTTTGCAGCATTTCGCGCCGCATAATACTATAGGCATCGTCACCTCGTTTCGATAGAAGATGGCCGGAGAAGTTGCGGATAGAAAGCGTGTCTGATCGATTATCGCGTGGAATAGAGTAGAATAAAGAGCGCAAACATCCTGGGATGACGAATGTTCTGCATACTGTTCTGGATTCGTCATTTTTGAAGGATAAGCGGTGCATCATGTTGGACTTCAGGTTCGTGATAGCATAATGTGGCTTCCCTGTAGATCTAAACGCCTCGGGCGCACTCTCTCGTGGGGTTGGCGAGATAATCATGTGACAGATACGACCCCCGCTTTCATTCCTGTAGAAGATATTGATAGGAGGTGGCAAAAAATCGCTACCATGGTCATTGAGCGCGTGCGGATCACTTATTTGGAAGTCTTCAATGTCTTTCCCGTAAAAGGAGGCAATTGAAAGCGGGTTAAACTCTCCCGCTTCTCCATCCCCAGGCTCAGGCGTGGGAAACATGGCGACAGTAAACATGACATCGGGAATGATAGGTGGACCTCCAGGCGAGGGATTGGTCGGTGCTAACTGCGGACGGTTCGTGGAGCGTACGACGAGAATTTGCCCTTGCAATGGTAATAGCCGGAGGTTACAAATAGGTTGCTCCTTCGAGAAGTTTAGAGCAATCTTCACAGCAAGAAAAAGGACCATACCTGTTGTGAAAGCGTGACCTCGCGCGCGCATTGAAAAGTAGATATGCGACCTTCAAAAGTCAGTTCCTTCATCACAATCGTTTCGGGCATCTTGGCAACTACCATGTTCGGAACGTCATCGACTTCACCAACATCAATATTTCGAAGTTCTGAATCGCTGCGAAGGTATCCGAGAAGGCGAAATGGCGGGGGTTGTGATGCAGCAAAGTCGAAAAAACTCTTGGGAACCAGGTACGAGGGCAGGATTTCCTAACGCATCTAGTGCATCCAGGGAAATCTGTAAACACGTCGCGACATACTCCAGCGGCATTGGAGCATCGATTTGGCATCGTGGGTTGTTCAAGTACGGATTGTATATGGAGGGATCAATACTGAGTCGACAGTCAGTGTTGGAAGATACACTCGGAGATACAATCAGCTTTCACCTGTTAGTACTTTGATGACTTTTCAATGTCTTCCGGCGAATATACCCGATAAGAATGCTTGGCGTGCCTTCCACATTCACGTACTTGGCGCATACATTGTACGCTTTCCCTCGGACGGGCGTTTCTGCCAGAGGGACGATGCCACGGATACGGTGATCAAGAACATATACGACCAAACTGTAGTGAGTTTTGGCAAGATTGCATGTAGAAGCGACAAGGTATTTTCCGCCGGGAAGTACGACCATTGATAATATATGTCTATGTGCTTGCACAGGAAGGTAAGAGGCGGCAGGCGGATTTGGCAGGATCCAGTTCTTGTGGACTGTAATAGCGCGAATAACTAATCGTTCGGCCTCGAACGAGGTCAAGAAATGAGGAGAATACTGCAGAGAAGGCGGTAGCGCAGGCACGTTGGGTCCGATCCTCTGTAGAAACCGTTTCCATATTATACCATGGTGCGTAAGGTTGTAGAACAGTTTGTTGACCTAAAACGAAGAACTTAGTGACAGCAGGTAGATGCAAAGTAGACATTACCATTCGCAAGCATAGGATATCTTCCACCATCAGGTAGTCGAATATATGATCGACCAATATGTCATCAGAAAGCATACTCAAACTTGGAAGACCATTGAAATCTTGGTGAACTCGTACACCCCACGTTCCTGTTCCTATTCTGTTTCGTTCATCGGCGCCAGGGTAAGAGCAAGAGAGGGCGGGAGAGATGAGGCGAGAAATCAGAGAAAACCGGCCATACATGATTGGGAAAGAAACAGAACAGATGTCTTGAGGCAGAGTGATATTTACTAGTCTATTAGCCTTGTTCTCATGCTCGCAACACTGTCAACGAAGAGGTTAACCGTTGTATTAAAAAATACGGCCATGGCGACGGCTTGATGAAAAATACAAGGACCAGACTGCCTGCAAAAGTGCAAATAGATCATGAAGAAATAGGTCACGGTAAAAATTATGCGAACTACAACGCTTTCCTAACACGATTTGCCTACATTGACACGTGACCCACCGACAACTCGCCTCGAGACGTCAACTAAAAGGGCCGGCCTGTATATAGTGATGGATGAGAGTGTTGTTCCATAGGGAATTACGCCTTCATTACATACAATCTTATGACATTGGAGCTGCGTTTACCTGCATGGCTTGAAGTTTTCAAGACTTGAATATAGACAGAAGTGCAAATAACTTTCATTCCAAATACGCACGAGGCTCAACCAAAATAACATACAGCGGCACTACGACAACGCCTACAATACATTCAACGCGGTGAAGCTCTTTCAGCAGAGACCAGTTATGCAGCAATGTGGAAGCAGCATTATTGCGTCCTTGAGAGTCCTCGTGCATTCAGTCACACCAGAGGCCGTAGATGTGACTATGAACGGGATGGCGATGACGAGAGACACGGACACCAATACCAAGCCGCTAACTAGCTGGAAGGCAAGCAGGTGGTCTAATTCTGTAGATGGCTAACCGGGGACTGTGCTTATTGACTAAGTGAGCCAAGAATGGACTTCAGCAGACCAAGCAAGGCAGAGGGGCCGATATGAGTTCGTTGCGCCTACGCTGCTCCTTTATACGTGTAAGAGTGGTTAGAGGAAAACGTGTAGGTGATGCATAGGCATGCCGTAGTGATGCATTGGCAACACTGACAGATATGCCACCTTAAGTATGCCACGCACGCTGTCGCAAATTAGTATAATCGAATGAAAGCGAATGAGAGATGGATAGGAAGCACGGTGTAAGGATAACAATGATAACACTGGCGCCAAATTTTCAACTTCACAACCTATATGAGACGGTCACGGATTGCCAGCCGGGAGGAAATTCAGAGCATGAAACTCGAGTCCACGGTGAAAATCACACTACTTAATCCATGAGCTGAGGGTCGAAGGTTGTGGTCCTGAAATGACGAAGAACTGGTTTGACCTGATTTTAAAGCTCACTAAACTAGACAGCTTCGTGTTCTGGAGCAGCTCTGTGTAGACCTGGCCAAGTAATGTGTAAACGTGAGGTGCCAGGTGAACGTTTGAACAACCGAACAAGAGCGATGATCGGGATTCGGATGCCGAAATTACATATCCGAGATCAACAAACCTAAAACGGTTTTCCTTCCTTCTCCATGCACGGCGCACGCACACCAAATTTTGCTGCACGCACCCACGTTGATGACCGTCTAAAATTTATTCGAATGCGTATCTACGCCTCTGCGTCGTCATATCCAAAATCATTGCCAAGTTCATGCGAGTATGGCCCCAGAGAGATCTCATCAAAACGACGCACCAGGGGATTTTTGATACGCACTACGCACCCCAAGCTGTGAGGCACACTGACAGGAGAAGAATAGGAAGGTCATACGACAACTAAATGAAAACTGATCTTTATCCATGGTTGAAACATCAGTTACAGCATTGAAAGCCTTTGAATCGTGAATGATCATGGCCGGAGAGCTTGGTATACATTGTAAATATACTTCCGTGTCATTGGGTACCACTTTCTGCTCACCAATAACACGAATTTTATAGTCTGTTATTTCCTGTGCATGCTGTCGCTTTATCCGATCCAGACTTTTGAACTCGGGCCGGCACAAGATATACGGATATCGCTTCTGTGCTGTGTTCACGAGCCGTAGTGGTGCAGATAAATGCCCGAGACAACTGTCGAATTATGAAGGAGTTCTTCGATGCACCCTGGAGTTGATGTCATCGATAAGGGATTTTTTTCGTTCAACCTATCCTCGGCCAGACAGGTTTTCCTTGCATTTGTACTGTCTTTTTACTCTTCACGCGTATACAGGAACTGCAAAGCTATCAGTTGTAGGCTCTCAGCGGGGTGGCAAAGACACCTTTGCGTCAACCGACTAATGTTGCAGGACGGCGATCTCCTTCAACTTGCTTGTGTAGTTTTAATAAAATTACGGTAATTCTCTATCTTGGATAGAGGTGTCAAGTTCCCCCAGAGTCTAGGACAGGCTGTTGCGATACATTAAAGGAAACTAAATAAAAGCGTGAGTGCTCGCAAAGAAATGTAATCAGAATATTCTTATCCATGACGTTTGGCGCTTGAACACCTCATGTAGGTCCGTTCTTTGTTACTGTTGAACAGTTCACCGCGTTGGCCGTGTCTCCCAAAGTGCCAATATAAATTGCGATCTGATGTCATCACTCTCGCGAGTGGAATTTGGATCTACGATTATTCAACCCCTCGTGGAGCCATAAGCTTACTCTGATCGCATTGTTAGCCTCCGGAAGGCACAAACATCCACAGCGCGTCCACAACACGCGTCTCGTCTTTTCAACGCGGACTTGCCACAAGAATGAACATCTCAACTGTGGATGCAAAGCCGAACGCATCGTACCAAAAGACCACCGTCCCATTTAGTGAATAATGGTGGTCCACAGGATATGTTCTCTGAAAGGAAGGTCCCTGCAGTGAAAACACAACTCGAGGACACCTTCAAAGCGGCTCCGGACAAACATATAAATATTGCTTCGGTGGCCTTCATCCTCTATCCCTTACCCACTGCACTTACTGCCACTGCGAACGCATACACATCCACTTAACATTTCAATCAATTACCTGCTGGTCCAGGTACGTGTATACCCAGCTTCAACACCTACGCTTCCTAACTATATTTACTTCTTACCTCCAGATGACTCAATCCACATCCCACCCCTCCTCGTCGAATGATTCCGATTCTTCCAATGCGGCACAATACATGCCAAACACTGGCATGTATATGGGTCAACTTCCCTGGCCCCAGCCCGCATACATTCCTCATCTAGGCTTCTACAACCCTGACAATGTGGAGCCTAATGCACCGCATGGTGACGCCCCCTCATACGCCCCCGTCGCACCTTCGCCTGATGCAGGTGCTGGAGTTGAGCATCACGCATTCCAAGCGGGACCAAATGGTTATTACCCCCCTGCAGTAGCTGATGTATCGGGTGCCACTTATGTTGGTCCATACCCACCGCTAACTCAGACTGCTCCTCCACCACAACACCCATCCGCGCCCCCCCTGTGCCGTCAATCTTTCCCATCGAGTTCTTTTCCAGGAGCCGCGAACCCTTACACTCCACCCGAACCGTACCAAGAATATATCCACCAGAATCACGCGCCTTGGCTTTCAGCGCCCTTTGCTCCCTTGTTTGTCCCTCGAGCACCAAGTTTGTCAGTCGGTAAAAAGCGCGTCGCTGAAGGCCTCGAAGAACGCGGCGTCAAGCGAACTAAAATAGTCTCCAGCAGGATCAAGAACGACCCGTTATTTGTGAGTTTTCTTTTCATCTTGTGAGATCTCATTCTTAATCCTTGGGACAGAAACCCGTGTTAGATCAACATGGTCAACCCAACGGGACATTCGTGTGTTCCAAAGACGGCATAATACTCAATCCTGAAAGCTATCTTAAGCACCTCAAGACGAAAAATCACCTAGGCTTCAAACTAGAGAGATACAAATGCCCCGGTTGTATCAAAACGTGCGTATCCTAACTCTCAAAATATGCGCAACTCGTAGTTAATATTGTTGTGATTAGTTATGCCCGACGTGATGCCTGCAAGAGGCACTGGGACGACGGTTGTGGAAAGCTAGCACCTGAGGGCGCTCGGCAATCATACGCAGACGCTTGCAGAAATTCTACGAGTTCTCGCTTCTGCCGCGCCTGTGACAATGCCTACCGCGCCCGTGACAGCACCTACCACGGCATTCACATATTCTTACCCGTACCCCATGCCCGTCACGTCGATGTCCGGAAACGGGCCGATCGCGTTCCCAGCAGCTTGGGTTGCGCCGTCGTATGGAACGCCCACTGTCGCGGATCCCGTACTTTGCCTCTCTCAGTCACCAGAGAATAACATGGTCACAGAGCCCACCGAAGACGAAGACGAAGACGACGAAGACGACGCTGATTTTTGGGAGGCTAATGAGATACGGGACACGGATGAGATGTAGCTATATTTTCCTTCTGCTACCAATTATTTTCTCTGTTTTATCATCTGCTGTTGTTTATTCACATATTCTTTCCATCTACACACATTCTTTCCGCCTACACACATTCTTTCTGCCTACACACATTCTTTCCACCTACACACATTCTTTCTATTTTCTATGGCATAACACGCTACTCTTCGTTCATTCATTCATACTATCACGATCGCTATTATCGTTATTGCTATTCTTATGCATCACCAAGGTGATTTGGTATTTCATTGATTGTAATACACACACTCCTTGCATGTACGCGCTGGAAGATCTAAGGAACGAGCGGGCAGGTGGAAACGATTCCAAAGATGAACTCGACAAGTATCGATATTAATACCAGAAATATCGACTCATACGCGCCGTTAAATCTTGAGAGACTCAGAGAGCATTTGTTCGAGGTTCAAATGGAGACCCAGACGCGCAAATCATTGATAGGCACGAGCCTAAAGGAAATTTATATGGCGACACTACAACGCGAGGTAAACCATTTCAACACGGAGCCGACCTACAATTCACTCAACACGATGAAGTTCCTTCAGCGGAAGCAAATAATGGAGCAGTATTGAGTGTGTGCTATTACTGTGGGGGTGTTCCCCTCGTCTGGTAGTGACGTTTGAACAGTAGCATCCAACAAACAGTTACCTGGGTGAATAATATTGAGAGTGTAGCAACAGTGGTGGATCCCCCATTGAGTCAGTCTATCGACAGCCGATGGTCAACATGCGAAGACAGTGTCGCATCGTACTAAAGAAGGCCTCGGTCGCAATCACTGACCCAGACCACCCATCGGCGAGCTCCACTGTGCAGTACACGGGTCTAAGGATGAAGTTAGCACATGATATGTGTTGATAACAAGATGTGCGGAATGCTAAACGAAGAAAATGCAGATTGTGCAGAAGATCGCCCCGGAATGCTACGTTGCATTTTCTGACTCACGGATCGTTGACCTTTCCTGAGTTCGATAACCTGATAGCGGAAAGGCAACAGAACGGAACCTGTCATTTCTAACGCAACAAAAATTTGGCTGCCAACTCAAGCCTAGCCTTACAGATCACGAGGAAATCCCACCGAAAACATCCATCCAGTAAACGACATACTTTCCAACCTTGTCTGGCGAATATCACCTTGATGGCTTCCAGCTCGACGCAGTCCTGATGCAACAGCAAACAAATCAATTCTGATACCGGTCATGACCTTGGAGAGACATAAGCCATCTATTACTTCCTTGCCGGATGGTAAAAATCAAGAGCACAAACGTGTTTCATGCATTTCCTATTTTCCCAATGGCAAGTAAATCATCAGCGGATCACTCGATGAGACATTTCGACAATGGGACCTACGGGAGGGTAAGGAGATTGAGGAGGCTCGGGAGATTTGCGAGAATTACATACGAGCAGTGGGGGTATCAAGGGAAGGTCGATTGATTGTCACTGCCCATATAATATTATAGGGTGCTCAAAGTCGGTGAGATTGAGACGGGGATCGTGAGAACATTTATGGTCACTCTGGCTGCAGTAGTAGACAAGGTCAGTAACATGTCAAATTCGTCGTGCTAGATAATTATGTCCCATAGCGAAGGAGGACAAAATATTAGCCTTTGAATGAGATGGCAGTACACTAGTGTTGAATACGACGAATACAGCGAGTGGGTGTGATTTGGATTGTAGAACATATGTGATTATCTGACTAACCTGGCTGCCCGGCTATGACGAATTTAAAGTTCGTCATCGAAAGGAGAGAAGGAGACACATGTTTACAGAAGGAAGGCGCCCTCTGTACTTGAGTATAACCAATATCATCATGATTCATTCATTTCATGAAATAGGTTACAATAGCTAACGATATCTGTTTAAACAAAAAAAGTCGCTTGGAGATATTGGTGCTTCTATTCTTCATCTACATTAAAGTTGCTTTCAGGATCTGCAATTACTTCGAACGAAGGAACAAGGGTAGCGTATTCTGCTCGTTCCCGTGCTGTTGTCCACACTGAATTGTCGAAAATCAGCCTCTTTAGGGGATATTCTGACCGCGCCAAAAATTCCACAAATGATTCACGTGGCCACCGCCCCGTATGACGAGCTTCAAGTACGCGAAGGTTAGGGAGTGTGATAGCCTCGAATAGGCCAAGATCCTCGTCTGTGTTCGAGAGTACGCTCCAAGACATGGATAAGGATTGAAGGTTGGTGTGCACGACTGATTCTGGAGTCTGAATAGTGTAGAATACTCCAATCATCTTCAGGTAACAGAGATCGGGACATAGACGGAGTATGCGGGTGAATGCATCTAGTCCATCTATGCCGATCTCGATATGTGTGAGACGGGCCCATGCGGAAGCAGTGAAGAAATTTAATTGCCTGCAGGTCGAACCATAGATCCTTCATGTTGATCCTGCGCAGATTGACCGGCAATTTTAAGAGAGAGCGATTGATCCCTCGCGCAGGACGATCACGAATGTATTGGCGTATAGTGAGCTCCTTGAGTGCGTGGAAGTCTTCCATCACAAAGGGGCCGATGGAGGATAGAAAGTCAAGCGAGAGAGATGAGATTTGCTGAATATATGGCTGGAGCAGACTTTGTAGCTTGCTCCAGTCAGTGCGACACTTGAGTCTCAGCGAAAGTGGACATGCTCCTGATCGCTTGAGCCAGGAGTCGTAGCCAAAAGCTCTTGTCTGCCAGTCATCGCGGGGGTAAGCTCTCTCCTGCCAGGTGTTGTGCCAGACTTCCAACTGCAGCCTGCACCATAATCTGGGCAAGCCCACAGCGACATCTCTCCATCGGCGACATATTCTAGTCAACAGCAAAGGAGCCAGTTTTGATGAATATACCCAATGTTCGTCTTCGGGCAAACAGTAAAGGAAGATTTCCGAAAGAATTTCAGTTGGCAAGCGCCAAATAGGCGATGAAAAGCTTCCGCGCAAGGTGTTGGACTGAACGACATCGGCCGTCCCTTCGATGAGCTGCCGCTGACGACAGATAACACCGTTCCTGACAATTTGAAGGTCCGAGTCCTCGCCTATAATCGTATCCGACTGTTGAAGTAGATATTCATTACTATATTCAGACGCAAATACCTCCAAAACCAAGCACTTACAGGATTCTGTGGCCCATCACTGGTAGCTGAGACCAACGCTGAATCGACGTTTGATGTGACTGTTTCAAGGTCCAAGTTTTCGCTTATAATAACATGCGGCTGTTGAAGCAGATGTTTATTGTTATATTCAGACGCCAATGCCTCCAAAATCAAGCACTTACAGGTTTCTGTGGCTCACAAGTGGTAGCTGATTTGAATGTCCGCATGTCAATGTGAAGGAGGTTGAGATGTTAGAGATGGAGATTTGAAGGAGGAAATAAGTCTAACGTTCCGCCAACCGTCGCATCCCTATTTAAATGGACACCTCGTAAACCACAGGTCCACAACAAACACACCTTGCCATTGTAGTTTCTTATAGTCGACCTTTAGGTAAAACACCCCCCATCCACAGCTAGAGACCTTGCATTGTTACAAAGGTGGTCGGTGTGGGCAAGTGTAGAACTGTGGAAAGGTGATCTCACTCAATGGCTTCGGCATACTCGATCGGCACCACTAGGCCATTCAAGACCTTTTGTTGTCTTCACGACAATTGAAGGTCGTTGAACAGATTTGGCAATCGAGCTGTGACCTTTATTTCACCCTATAGTAGTCTTGCGTGTGATAGTTGACAGGGACAGTGGAGGCGCTCACGAAAATCTGGTTCGATTCCAGTCTCCTTGGCATCTCTACCGTACGTACTGAAGGGTCGATTCCCTTTTCGTCAACTGTTTCTCCCCCACTACATTCTGAGTACTGACGCTCCTGGTCATCCCAATCGTGGGACGTAGCTGGAATAAGATGACTTAATGTGTGTAGGGGAGTTTATAGCAGCAGGGAATTAACGTTGACGTGTGGTTGCATCGAGCGCGCGTCACGTAGATTGGGGAGCCTATAGATTGAAGTACTAGGCATTATGTAAAAGGGAGTAAAAAGGACATGTCGTACAATGCACAGCCGTCTGGAGGTATCAATATAGGGGTGGGACGCGCTCCCATATGCCCATCATTGCTCTTCGTTCCTGCTAGTATCCTGGTAAGATGAAAACCCATACGAGCATTATGCATAGATGAACTAACGGCTGGCTTAAGCAGGCAAAGTGCTGCACTCACATGTGTTAGAGTTGAAAACCACTCGATATCAAGCCTAGCCTTAGAGAGCACGAGGAGAACCCACCGAACAGATCCACTGTTAACCGACATACTTGCAACCCGTCTACCGAATACAGCTGTGATGGCTTCTAGCTTAATCCTGTCACCGGTCATGACCTTGGATGGACACGAACCATATATTATTTCTTTGTCGGGTGGTGAACATCACGAGTGCAGACAGATTTCATCCATTTCCTATTTTCCCGACGGCAAGCAAATGGTCAGTGGATCAGGCGACAAGACCATTCGGCAATGGGACCTGCGGGAGGGTAAGGAGATCGAAGAGGCTCGGCGGGTTTGTGAGAATGGTGAGCGGGGAGTGGGGGTATCAAGAGATGGTCGATGGGTTGTCACCACTGGTTGGGAGGAACTCAAAGTCAGGGAGGTTGAGACAGGGATCGTGAGAACATTTCATGAAGATAATTGGATCACCAACATCGATATCTCCGAGGACGGCACGTTGCTAGCGGTTGGGTCGACTGACATCAAGACGCAAATATGGAGTGTCGGAGTGCGGATATGGAGCTTGGACACAGGCAAAGTCGTGGCTGGTCCATTCACATTTAGTGATGTTGGTACACTTCGACTCTCGAAAGACTCAAGGAAGTTGGCGGTGATGTCGCACTGCCTTCAGGTGTGGGATGTCCAAGCACAGAAATTGGACGTACAGAAATCCATCCCTGTTCCGGGGCCAATGGGTCCAGTCTTCTGGACAGCAAAAGACAAATCCATCGTGGCCCAATTCAAGTTCACTGTAGATGAGTACCCCATGGCGATCTACGAGTTTGACTCGTCGACGCTCGAGATTATCGGAGCTCCTTTCAAAGGGCACATTAATACTATCGAGGGTCTAGCACTCTCATCTGATTGTGTTCTTCTCGCTAGCTCTTCCCACGATGACACCATCAACCTATGGGCCTTTGAGTCCCGCCAGCTCCTCGCTTCATTCAATATCAACTTCACTCTCTCCATTATCTTCTCACCTGATTCACGCCAACTGGCTTACACCACCTGGGTTGACACCAAAATCTACATATGCAATATTCCGGCCAATATCCTTGCTAGCATTGGGCTTGCAGAACCACAGCCGAGTGTATTTTTCCCCCATATATCCATCATTTATGTGCTAATATTCTTACAGACCAGTGGGTCCAAACGTTCGCGCTGTGCTGATCTACTCGACGTACGTGGTCCTACCCTTTCATTATCTACACCTCACCATTATTTGTTATAGTTCGATGCAACACGTCGTCCCGTGCGACGTAAACCTGTGATAACACCTGCCATGTCTCCCATCCCTCGACCTTTGCCGTATACAAGGGACACATATGCTTACCTCCGATTTCTACGCAAGCTCCTTTCCTCCTCTTCTCGTACGGTCTCAGTTCGCACCGACGGGCCTCATAATCCCCTACACGTATGTTTCTTATATCTGTTTGCTTCCTGGTTGACGATTCCCTTTCAGTTCCCTGCCATATTCCCCCTACCCCGTCCATTTATAAAGCCAAACGAGAATGTTAGTGCGGACTTTCGTCATTGCGTATTTGATTCACGTTCTTTTAGTCTCAACCCACACCAGCACTACCAACCACCCAATTCTCCGTCGCCAATCCTCCCGCAACCCTCAAATCCCACTTACATCGACTGTCAACCTGGTGGCCCTCTCAGACAGATCATGCATCGCCGACTATTAATGTTGTTGATGTTCCTCTCGCACCGGGTAAACTGGTATGCCCCTCTCATACTTCTCGTTGTGTTCCAAATCTCATACATTCATGTATAGCGGTACGCTACAGCGGGTGCTCCTGGCGATGAGGATGACCTCATACGTGATGAAGACTATGTTTCTCTTCCTCCTTCCCCCAATCCTGGCTCACGCCTGAGGATTGTCAACACCGGACAGCATGGAAGCGGTCGCTCTTGTTTCTGCTTCTAACTGGTCTCGAATTTCTTCCCTGGTATCTCGTAACTGTAATTACTCGTTGCATGCGCTGTCCTCCCTACACTTATGTTAAAGTCATAGTCACTATTTCACTATTCCCCCTAAAGCGCTTGAGATATATTAACAGTCCCTGATGGTCGATGCTGTCCAGACTCTGGTGTCAACAGCGGTCCGAGGTATCGCAGGTCGCGAAAGTGTTTGGAACCACACTAAAAAAATTGGTGCGAGGACCTCGCATACGGTTCTGTATCCAAACTGGTGCAATCAGAAGGTCAGTACCAGTCCCAACGCAGATTCGTTGAAAAATGTGACATTCTGATCGTTTGTAAGCAGGGAGCATCGGGAAACATCCAACGTTGAACATTGAACTACCATTCTTATTTCTAAATTCGCTGAAACTGATGCTTTTGAAACGAGCATGTATTGCGTGAGTTCTTGCCGTCACATGTGTATTCGACGATCCTTCTTTCTGCGTATCAATTCACGGTACTCATTATAAAGAGCTGGTAAACTACATAGTACATCAACTGTCATCATTTTACGAAATAGGTAGCCAACATCTATTTAAACATACGAAAAAACGCCTGTCGAATCTTCTGCAAGAATCTCGAAAGAAGGAATAAGGGTAGCGTATTCTGCTTGTTGCTCTTCTGTTGCCCACACTGTACTGTGGAAAACCAGCCTCTCCAGGGGACATTTTGACCGCGTCAAGAATTCCATGAACGATTCATGTGGCCACACCCCCCTAACGCTAACTTCAAGCACGCGCAGGTTCGGGAGTGTGATAACATTGAATAGGCCAGGATCCCCGCCAAAGTTCCGAAGTACGGTCCAAGACAGGTGTAAGGATTGAAGGTTGGTGTGAGTGACTGGTTCTGCAGTCTGACTCGGGTGGAATAATCCGGTCATCTTCAGCGAAGAGAGATTAGGGCATAGACGGAGTATGTGGGTGCATGCGTGTCGTCCATCTACGTTGATCTCCAGATGTGTGAGACGGGCCAACGCGGAATCAGCGAAGGCATTTAATCGGTTGCGGTTGAACCACACATTCTCCACGTTAATCCTGCGCAGATTAAGCGGCAATTTTGAGAGAGAGCAATTAACAGCTCGCGCAGGATCATTACAAATGTATTGGCGTATAGTGAGCTCCTTGAGCGCGTGAAAGTCTTCCATCATGAAGGGACCGTCGCAGGATATAAAGCCAAGTAAGAGAGACGAGACTTGCTGAGCGTATGGCTGGAGCAGGCTTTGTAGCTTGCTCCAGTCAGTGCCGCACTCAAGTCTTAACGAGACTGGACGTCCTCCTGATCGCTTGAGCCAGGAGTCGTAGCCGAAAGCTCTTGTCTCCCAGTCACGGATAGTTCTCTCCTGCCAGCCTTCGTACCAGAACTCCACTTGGAGCCTGCACCATAACTTAGGAAAGCCCACAGCAACCTCCCTCCATCGGCGACATATCCTGGTCAATAGCATGGGAGCCTGTCTCGATGCATAGACCAAGTGCTCGTCTTCGGGCAAACAGTAAAGGAAGATTTCGGAAAGAATTTCAGTCGGCAAGCGCGAAATAGGCGATGAAAGGCTTCTGCAAGAAGTGTTGGACTGAATGATGACGGCATTCTCTTCGCCGAGTTGCGGCGGACAATAGCTAACACCGTTCCTGACGGTTTGAAGGCCCAAGTCCTTGCCTGTAATCAAATCCAACTGTTGAAGTAGATATTTATTATATTCAGACGCCAATACCTCCAATACCAAGCACTTACAGGATTCCTGTGACCCATCAGTGGTAGCTGAGACCAATGATGAATCAACGTTTGAGTTGAATGTCTGCATGTTAACACGAATGAGTTTGAGATGTTGGAGATGGAGATTTGAAGGAAGAAACAAGTCTACCGTTCGCCAACCGTCAGGTCCCTATTTAAATGAACACCTCGCAAACCACAGTTCCACAACAGACCCACATTGCTATTGTAGTTTCCCATAGCCGGTCTTTAGGTAAAACACCCGCCATCCACAAGTAGAGACCTGGCATTGTTCCAAAGGTGGTCGGTGTGGGCGCCGGTGGAACTGTGGAACCGGGTGGTCTTGCTCAATGCTTTTAGCATACTCGATCGGCACCACTAGACCATCCAAGACCTTTTATGTCTTTACGACCACTGAAGGTCGTAGAACAGACCTGTCGATCGAGCTGTGACCTTTATTTTATCCTATAGTAGTCTTGCGTGTGATAGTTGACAGGGACAGTGGAGGCGCTCACGAAATTCGGGTTCGATTCCAGTCTCCTGGCATCTCTACCGTACGTACTGAAGGGTGATTCCCCCTTCACTAACCGTTTCCCCTCCACTACATTCTTAGTACTGACGCTCCTGCTATATGCCAACCATGACAAGTAGTTGGAATATAAGATGACTCAAGGAGTGCCGGGGAGTCACTTATAGCAGCGGGGGTTAACGTTGACACATGATTGCACCGTGCCGTAGGGAAATTCGAACGCGCATCAGGTTAATTTGGAAGTAGGTCGGAGTACTGGGCTTTACGTAGAAATAAGTAAAAAAGGACATGCTGTATGATGCACAGCTGTCTGCAAGATAGAAATACATAGAGGTGGGATGCGCGCCTATATGTCCATCATCGCTTTTCCTCCTTGATAGCATCCTGGTAAGATGAAAACCCATATGAGCATCACGCATGGATGAACTGACGACTGGCTTAAGCAGGCAGTGGGCACTCGAATGAGTTGAGTTGAAAATCAAGCCTAGCCTTAACAGAGCACGAGAAGAACTCACCGAACACCAACCGATATACTTGCCAACCTGTCTGGCACCCACGGCTGTGATGGCGTCCAGCTCAACCCAGCCTGGTATCGCGACAAAAAATTGATTCTGACACCAGTCAAGACCTTAGAGGGACATGGATGGAATTTTTCGCCGGATGACGATTATTCCATCATGGGGAGCAAACATATTTCGTCCATGTCCTATTTTCTCGACGGCAACCAAATGATCAGTGGATCAGGCAATAAGACCGCTCGGCGATGGAACCTGCGGGAGGGCAAGGATATTAAAGAGGCTCGCGAGGTTTGCAAGAATCGTATAGAAGTAGTGGGGGTATCAAGGGATGGTCGACGGGTTATCGCTGCAGCTGGTCGGGTTCTGAAAGTCTGAGGTTGAGACGGGGATCGTGAGAACATTTCTTGAAGACAATCTGATCGAGTGCATCGATGTCTCCCCGGATAGCACGCTGCTGGCGGGTGTGTTGGTCGATTCTGTGCGGATATGGCACTTGGACACAGGCGAACTCGTGGCAGGTCCATTCGAATGTGGAGATGATGGTATTCGCCAATCAGCACTTCGATTCTCGGAAGACTGTCGCAAGTTGGCGCTGCTGTCAGCGGCGGGGCGGTTCCTTCAAGTGTGGGATATCCAAACGCAGAACTTGGATGTACAAAAATCTGCCACTTTCAACGGTGGGGTCTAGTCAGTATCAATCTTACCGGTACCGGTATTCTGGACAACAAAAGACACATCCATCGTAGCCGCATTCAACTAGCCTCACTAACAGTAACACCACCACAACAATCTATGAGTTTGACGCGTCCACGCTCGAGACTATCGGAGCCCCTTTCAAAGGGCACACTGATATCATCACCGGTCTAGCACTCTCATCTGATTGTACTCTTCTCGCCAGCTCTTCCTGTGACAGCACCATTAAGCTCTGGGCTTTCGAGTCCCGCCAGCTCCTCGCTTCATTCGACGTCGAGTCTCCCTTAACCCTCCTCTCACCCGATTCACGCCAACTGGCTTACACGACTTTTTTTGATAGCAATATCCATATATGCGACATTCCAGCCGACATTCTTGCTAGCGTTGGGCTTTCAGAAGAATCGCAGCCAAGTGTATGTATTCCCCGCACGCATAGATCCATCATTTATGTGCTAATATTCTTACAGACCAGTAAATCTAAACGTTCACACCATGCTAATCTACTCAATGTACATGATCCTATTATCTCATTCATCTACGTCTACACCATTCTCTACCATAGTCCGATGCAACACATCGTCCCATGTGCCATAAACCGGTGATAACACCTGTCATGTCTCCAATCCCTCGACCTTTGCCTACAAGGGACCCAAATACTTTCCTTCGTTTTCGACGCAAGCTCCTTCCCTCCCCTTCTCGTATGGATGCGACTCACCGATGAGCCTCATAATCTCCTAGATGTATGTTTCTTTTCAGTTTGCTTCCCAGTTGACTTGACGGTTCTCTTGCAGTTCCCTGCTACATCCCCCCTACCTCGACCACTTATACAACCCAACGAGAACGTGAGTGGGGGCTTCCATCATTGCGTATTTGGTTTACATTCTTCTAGTCTCGACCCACGCCGGTACCACCCACCAGCCAATTTTCCGCTACCAATACTTCCGCAACCCTCAAATCCAGCTTACATCGAATGTCAACGTGGCTTACCCCTCAGATAGATCATGCATCCCCGGCTATCGTCGATGTTCCTCTCGCGCCAGGTAAACTGGTATGCACATCTCATTTTTCTCGTCGTATTCCAAACCTCACGCATCCATGTATAGCGGTACGCTACAGTGGGTGCTCCCGGTGATGATGATGACCTGATACGCGACGAAGACTATGTTTCCCCTTCTCCTTCCTTAAATCCCGGCTCTCGCGCACAGATGGTTAACGCCGGACAACACGGAAATGGCCGGTTTTGTTTCTGTTTCTAACTGATCTCAAGCTTGTTCCCTGATGTCTCGTAACTGTAATCGTTGCCCCTTACGTGCATCGTCCTCTGTGCACTTATGTCGAATTCATGCTCCCTATACCAACTAAGACGCTTGAGATATATCAACAGTCTCCGATAATCGATACTATCCAGACCCTACTGTCCTATGTCTAAGTCAGCAAGTCAGTCCCAACACAGACTCATTGAAAATGTAACATTCCGACGTTTCGCAAACATGGAGCAACTCAGAAAACAACCAGCGTTGAACGTCGAAGTATCATTCCTATTTCTAAATTCTGTGCTCGCCAAAATTGATGCTTTTCTGAGCAAACGGGTATTGCGTGAGTTTCTGCCGTTGCACGCGTGTTTGACAAACATGATACCAGCCTTCTTTCTACATATCAATTCATGCTACTCCGCCGTGAATCACTTGTTTGCCACTAATAATAAATGACGCATTATCAGTAAAACAAGGTAGCATATAGTAAGTACATGACAGACGTATGTAACAGGCTAATTCAGTAATTGCAACAACTTGAAGTACATTGGGGACGAAAAAGAAAGCGATACAAAGAACACGTGAAACCATACCAATACAGCAGGAACTATACACCGATATGAATGAAAACCATCCTCTGCTCAAGCGGCACTTTCGTCTTCACAGCGTGCGTAGCACGGTTGAGTGCCCAGGCCGCCTTCGTACAGTCCATGACACCCTCCTTTAAACCATCGAACAAATTCTCGTAGAACGCTTTGACAACGTGCTTTGCGACAGAATCGTCGACCTCCCACAGCGTGCCAATGACGCTCTTGAACCCCGAAAACTGGAGACCAGCTGCGAGGTGAATCACTTCGTCGGGAGTCTCCTTATCGCCGACGGCGGTATGACAAGCGGATAAGAATGCGAACTCGGCGTGTGGAATATGTTTCTCCATGATATCGAGCAGCGTCAGATGTTCGTCTCTCATGACGAAGTGGGAATTGTAAGGCTGCGTAGGGTCCTGCTTTCCATGGCAAGCGAGGTGCACCCAGGTATTCTCCTCCAAAGCTTTGAGTGCGCCTGCTCGTGTGGCTGCGTCACCAGAAATAGTGGTACGGTTGGCCGTCGCAGGGACGAGCTTATGGACAAGCTCGAGCTCGCTGTCGACAGCCAAGAGCGCCTTGCCTTTCCCCGTACCCGGTTGACCCTGTCCGATTGTCACGAAAGATGGAGTGACGCGCTTCTTCATCATCTGTCTAGATCTGACCAGAGCCGAAAGTGTTGGCGTGTAAGAGCAGATGTAGAGGTCCTCTAGGCATGGCTCTTTAGAGCGATCTGCCCTCGTTTGAAAGGGGTGAGCTGCATGGAGAGGAATAAATGTGAAAGCTGCAGTTGGACACAACCAGATTCGAGAGCCATGCTTTAGCTTCAAGACATGCTCGAGTACGTTGACGATGGGTAGCATGATCTCTTCCCATACTGTCCGCAAGAGGACTATTAGATCGTTCCGAGGCACCTTTGGGCCCATAATGGATGCGTGTCGTATGGCCCTGGCGAAGCGATCCTTCAGATTATTCAGATCTGTGAGAGTGACAGATGGTAAGGGAATATGACGGGGTTCTCCTGAGGTTGGAATAATGATGGCGCTGCATGAATATTGACTGGCAATAAGGATGATGACGGGGCCTTGGCGTGCTGCCGCTTGCAAGTCTTCGTACGAAGGCGGGAGCAGGAATCGCGAGAACGCTTGAAGATCACGGATTTCAGCCACTGCAGCGTCCCATTGCCCTGTAAGTATTCTATATTCTGTTGCAGCTCGATCAGCTGCAGCTGGGTCAGCACCGCCTGCCGAATCCTGAGCATGAGATAGGCGCTTGTTGAGCCCCAAGAGCTTTTGAGCTAGTTGCGGACACGCAGACTTAAGGTCTTCCAGTGGAGTCCTGAGTCGAGAGGCCAACGACCACTGCTGGCCACGGCCCTGCTCCACAAGTTCAACTGCCTGTCGTAGATTGTGACGACGTATGGCACATGAGGCCGCATCTACAGGGAGTGATTGTGCACCACGAAAAGCAGTTGCAGCTTCCCGCCGTGTGACGATCGATGATCGCGTCATCACGTGGCTGTCGAAAAGTTCAAAGCACATTTGGTATGCTTCCAGGGCAGATTCATGTTGATAGACTTCTGCTTGATGAGCCCAATCAATAGCCTCTGTGATACGCCGAGGAAATCCTTGAGTAGGATGTCCCGATGCCAGTCTGAAGTTCTCTACAGCGAGCGACAAATCAGCAGGGTCGTGTAGAATCCGGTAACGAGCTAAATAGGCTTCCTGCAGCCGTGTGTAGCTGAACCATCTGTCTGGGTGCAGTGAAGACAGAGCCACCAATGACTCTCGGCAGAGATGAATGGCCTCCTCAATATCTTCATTCTTCCGAGTTTGCGTAAAACGAGAGCAGAGCGACGCGCTCAAATTGGAAAGACTTAAATGGCGCTCGGGATGGTCATGCCGCTTTAACCGAAGGGATTCCCGATACCGATCAATGGCCTCATTAAGATCCTCAATGACATGCAATTCGTCGTATCTGGTGTCGAGCGTGAGGGCAAGGCCGTGAAGCGTGGTATCACGACATGGATGCCCAGGTGGACGCAATGTCAGTGCCTCGCGATGGAGGCTGATAGCTCGGGTGATGTCATCAATGTCGTTGCATTTGTTGAAACGGATGATGAGGGCGCCCCCTAGGTTGTCCAAGGAGTTGTCACGATATTGGTGCCCAACAGGGCGCAGGCGCAGCGCTTCTTCATACAAAGAGATGGCCTCATCGAGGTCATTAGGTTTGCCTTGGTGATCGAAGCGGTATCTAAGCGAGAAGGCCAAGTTGTTCAGGTAGTAAGCACGGTCAGTATGTCCCTCGGGGCACAAAGACATGGCTTCACGACCAAGTTGTATGCCCATTTCAAGATCATCGACGGTGCCATGCTGATCAAAGCGTGCTTCGACTGCTTGTGCAAGCTTGTCGAGGGCTCCGGGACGGTGTTGATGGTCCAGAGGACAGAGCTCGAGGACAACTCGTCGAAGGTGGATGCCTTCATCAGATTCGTCTATCGGAAGATTGTTGCATCCGTTGATCACATAATCAACACCATTTGCCCCTGCTTGCGATGCTATGAAGGTAGGTGTCCTCTGGACAGAGAGGCAGTAGCTCATGATAGAGTTTGGCAGATTCGCAGATGTCGGCAGCAGTACTTTTCTTGTTGTGGCGCCAAGTCAGCGCTTCGGTGAGATTATATAGAGATAATGGATGATCGGGATGGCACTGCGGACGCAATGCAAGGACTTCACGGAACAGCGAAGTGGGGGTATCAATATCTTCAAGATCGTTGCAAATATACCCCCGAAGGCGCGCGTACGCAAGGTTGGTGAGGGCTGTTGCATGGTCGGGATGGCTGATGAGACACTGGTCTAGAACCAACTGAAAATGCTGCACTGCATCGTTCAGGTGAGATACCGTCTTGCTCGTCACGTATGCGGCAAATTGTGCGTGGCCCGTATCTGTGTCTCGAGCGATCTTGCAGTCTACAAGGGACTACGATTGGCGATCCGTCAGCAACAGCTAACAGTAGAGACCAGCGTCACTTACATCAGACAGCGCGCCTTCCTGATTGTTGCAAGCATGTACAATGGTAGCCTTCAGCGTGAGGGAAGGGTAGACATCGCAGACGGGTGGGAAAGCCAAAGCTACGAGATGTTAGTATATGTGCATGAATGAGAAGAAAATGACTCACCGAAAGGTTCATCTCCATGATCAAGTAGCTCATCCCATGACATTTGAAGTTTCCCAATGACCTCTCCACTGCCTAGGATTCGACCGGCCTCATAGGACGCCCTGATCTCTATTGATAATGCAGGCGAGGTATGGGATGATCTAGAAACAGAAAATCAGCTCTCGCATCGCATCGGAAAGTCTCCATGGACTGTACAGAGTCACAGTGTCGCCCCACGCTGCAGATTCCTCAGATGATAAGACACTGATGGCCGATTTCCAGCGTCTATGGGAATCAACATTGACGGATATGTAAATGCCTGCGGGAATGCGCTCGGAGGGGACTTGAAGATTTTTTCCGCTGATGACTGTGAAAAGAGTGTGAGGATCGCGAAATGGATGCAAATGTGATATAGAGCGACCCACCTTCAAGTCTGATATGTCGGCTTTCCAAGCTACTAGGCATGGTAGTGTGATGAAGTAAAAGGACAAGGATGGACTGAGTGGTTAACGGAATGGGTGAGAGGGAAAGACAGGGGTAGGGATATAAGACTGTGGATGGATGAAGTTCGGCTGAGGGAGAGGAGAAGAGGTTGAGGGTTCAGGCTATGCTACATGTGTATTTCCATGTTGTCGATCGCAGTTCGGCACGATAGACACTGATACGAATGCATTAAGCGCTGGAAATGGAGATCTACTCAGTTGGATTAGCGGAAGAATCTACGCTGAAAAAAGTGTAGACAAAGTCATGATTAGTCTTCAGCGAAAGTGGCCCGCAAAAGTTGAAGGGGATATGCGAGTCTCAGAGTGTCTGGTGATGGTTGCAGGTCCTGGACATGAATCGTAAAGTCGTACCACTCATTTAGCACACTTCGAAAGTAAAATGTAGAATCGAGTGTATTTTGTAAGGTAATGGACAAAAGAAAATACAAACTGCTGAAAACGGAGCGCACAGAAAAGCCGAACGATTCTATATGACTTGTTCAATTGAGCTGACAGTGACATGGTGGAGGATTGAGCGTAACAATGTTGTAGAAACAGCAGGAGAGAACATGAGAGTCGGATTCATGGATGTGAATGGTATGAGAGTGACAGTACTAAACGAGAGTCAGCTAATGGACGAATTACTACTACCAAGTCTCGAGAATACCTGGCCAGCCCAGTGTCAACTCGTGTCTGCCCGTTGAACAAGCCTCAATTGGTTGAATGCTTCCCTCCAAGTTGTTCCCACGACTGCCAGCACGAAAATCAAACAAGTCCAAATTCCTGACTTGACTTGGACCCTCCAGATTTCGACACATACCAACCTTTCATTGGCACCAACAGGAACACCGACTAATTTCTCGAAAGGCGCAGTTGGGAAAAAGGTCATCATATGTCTTACATCAGGTGTTGATTATCAAGGCATTCCAGGCTATACTGTCATATTTATGCATAATTATGGCTAATTACAGACATCATGGTTATGCATGGTTGTTGCTAATCCACCATGCTCATAGTTTTATGCATAATGGTACCTGCATCACACTGAGCCTTTTGTGGAACTTTGAAACCCAGCACACCAAATATGACTCCGCATTTTTGGCCACCTACTGTGGGAATTACCCCACAACACCTAAAACATTGCCCCTTTTGGAAATCTTCACAATTTCAATTGTTCTCACACCACCTGAGTGACACTGTTTATGTTACTACTTAGTAACATGAGAAGGTATGCTCTTGCATTACTAGTTAGAGGGAATAATCTATACTACAGTACTGCACCACTTACTTTAGTACTCAGCAGTGACTTTGCAGGTATGTTTTTTTCCTCTCAGCTTTATCCAATGGTGGCTTAGCTGACTGCAACATAATCAACTTTTGGCAATGTGCAGGCTGGGTGCCAACTACTCCCACCACTAGTGCCAACATTCCCACAGCCTCTGCTCATTGTCTACAATGATGAGCACACTGTGAAGAAGAAATAGGTACTAGGCTGTTAGCAACTAGCACTACTTATCCTAAGAGGCATGAGTCAGTAGATTGGCCCGAGAGGACTGCTATTGAAGCACTTCCTTCAAATATATGCAAGGGAAACAAGTGAGTGAAGGAGTTAAAACCTATAGTGGCCTAAGAAACTAGAGCACTGGCTGTATGTATACCTTCGAATTCCTATGTCAAAGAATTGACTGGTGTTAGTATCGCAAGCACAAGATGAATACTAGAGGATATGTGCAAGTGCAGCGAATGCTGGATACTGGTGTGGTAGATACAGTGACTTGCAAAACCGTTACAATGTTTGGTACTTTTTCAGTGTACACAATATAGCGCCTATGCACGTGGGAATCATGCTTAGTGTTGGTGGGGGCGTGTGAACTACAAACCCGCGGCTACAGGCTGACACTTAGATCACATGATTTGGCTAAGGGAATGTGAAGATATGCCTATTTTAAGACAGAGATACCATTGTAATGGTTTTGCAGCTGTTGATATATGTAGATGGTGGGATCTCAGTCAAATCAGAGGATGGTTACTGTTATTTGCTTATACAAATAAAAATATACATAAAAATATCATGTCTGAGTTTGAAATTGCTCCCATGCATCTTTATTCCCAACAATTGCTACTATTTCCTTAGGGGGATGCTCATACTCTGCAAGTCTCCTTTTGACAAGGTCCCAGAGATATTCTGATGGGTTAAGGTCAGGAGATTGTGCAGACCACACCATAGTCCTAAATTCCTGCTCATCTAGTCACTTCAGGACCTTTTTGCAGGTATGATTAGGGTCATTGTCTTGCTGAAAGATGACATCAGAAGCATTAAGATCATGAAACTTCAGGAAATTCTGAAGTTTATCCTTCAAAATTTTAAGGTAAAGATCTCCATCCATTCTACCATCAATCTTAGCAGCATAGCCAACTTCTTCACAGGTCATACAGCCCCATATCATCACAGACATTCCATTAAACTTGATAGTTCCTTATACCAATCTGTCACTATGCCCCTCTCCTGACTTTTTACAAGCCCATTTGCAACCATCTGACCCTAGGTAATTAATTTTGGTTTCATCAGACCATATGACCAACTTCCAGTCCTCCAAAGTCCAATTTTTGTGAGTATAGGCAAAGTCCAAGTGTGTTGTGCAATATTTGGCAGACAGTAGAGAGTGTTTGGACTTGACTACAGCCCTCATCCCAGCTTTTTCAGGTAGCAGCAAGTGGTACTTGGGCTGGGGGGCTAATTGACAATATTTGAAAAAGATTTGATCACTTGGATAGCAGTTTCTGCCTGCTGAGTGAAGATGAAACAAATAGGATGACAAATATTGACTGAGGAAAGCTTGGTTGAATGACCACCAGTGAACTTGGGGGGATATTGGGGGTAGTGCACATGATAGAGAACGTAGATATACATAGATATGTTGAAGTAATTAGTCCGTCAGCTTCCAAACAATGAATGAGCACCAACCCATCCCACAATTGCACAAGTGAACAAATGTCATGAGGAGAGGGGAAGGGAGCTGAGCCAAATACCTTGCAACTGTGGTGTGTTGGTGTCTGGGGCTTCTGCAGGAGAAGGAACATGGGTTTTTCCACTGGAGGGGGAGAGGGGGAAGCCACATACTGCCGCTTGGGGGACTGTCAAGGCTAATGACACGATGATGGGAGGAATCAAGCTCCATCCCATTGTCATTGTCCATGTCAACGTCCCCCCTGCCCAACATACCCAGTGTGTTGCCAAGGGGGGCAAAAAAAGGATTGTTTTCATTGGTGTGGGGGTCATCATCAAGGTCACCATCTGGATTGTCAATTGGACTGCCCCCAGTGCTGGAAAAATGAGGAGGGGGGGGATGCAGAGTACTTGGAGGGGTGTGCTGAGCGCCCATGGGACAGGGCTGAATGCTTAGAGGAACACACTGAGTGCTAGTGTCAGGTGGGCTCCAGAGAGGGAGCTGAGGGTCTGGGGGAAGTGGCTGGGGGTCTGGGGGATGGGGCTGAGGGTTTTGAGGATGGAGCTGAGGGAGCTGAGGACTGGGTGGGTTTGTAGAGGGACCAGCCCCCCCATGTGGACAAACGAGTGAGTAGTAATTTGTGGTGTGGTCAACTTCTGGCTGGGAGGTGAAGATCTTCACACCGATTGTTGGATTTGAGAAGAGGAATGGGTGGAGCTGGTCATACCAAGGGGACTTGAGTAGTACTTGTTCTTTAAATCAAAAAAAAAAATGTTAAAAAATATCAAAACAATGATGAAAAACTCACTGTGAAGATTGGTGGCTGCATGTTCATCAAGTGGGGTGATGCCAGCGCCGGTCTTGTTGAACTTATTGTGCTGATCCCTAAACAACTTCCTAAGACTTGAAATATTTAAATTAGTGGCAACAAATCTGAATAAAGGAGGTCACTTATGTGGTGCAGTGGTTGCCACTGATACATCAAATTTTTTCGGGTCCTCAGCATATAATGCTGAATATTTGGAGTCATTCTTGAAGATCAGCTTTGACAAGATCTGATGGATGTCCCCTTTGTCCCTGCCAGAGGGATGCTCCTCAGTGCTAGAACTGGTGGTCTTTTTCCCCTTGTAGAAAAGAGTGCATGCATTGGAAGGATTAGTGGTGAGGTGGGTCACGAGAGTGTCTGTGCAGTGGAGATCTTGGGCCCTGGTCCAATGGACAATTCTCTTCAGTCTGGCAGGCTTAGGAGGCTGATTATGAGTGGGATTAGACCCACATCCTCAAGATTTCCCTCTTCCACAGGATGCGGATGGATTTGGGGGCAGCTCCATTGCCTTTTGGTGAGTTTGAGCATTTGCTTGAAGCCTTGCAGAACAGCAAACATGTTGGTGGACAGCAGGCATGGTGATTCAGACTCCAACTTCATGCCAGCCGACTCCATCATTGCTAGAGCACTTAGCCAGTGTTTTACTGAGTGCTCTAGCGAGTTTAGAACTCTACTCTGATTCCCACTAGTAGTAGTGCTGACACCAGTTGTGGAGGCAATAGAGTGAATAGAATGACTAGCATTAAGCTGAAAGAGAATGGTATTCTTTTGAGTAGTAGAGAGAGATCCCATGGTGGTAATGATTAAGAATAAAGAAGTGTGGGAGAAATTTCAAACTCAGACATAATATTTTTATGTATATTTTTATTTGTATAAGCAAATAACAGTAACCATCCTCTGATTTGACTGAGATCCCACCATCTATATCAACAGCTGCAAAACCATTACAATGGTATCTCTGTCTTAAAATAGGCATATCTTCACATCCCCTTGGCCAAATCACGTGATCTAAGTGTCAGCCTGTAGCCACAGGTTTGTAGTTTACACACCCCCACCAACACTAAACATGATTCCCATGTGCATAGGCGCTATATTGTGTACACTGAAAAAGTACCAAACATTGTAATGGTTTTGCAAGTCACTGTATAACATGCACAAAATCAACTGTGCTCGATAGAGTGGCTGGACACAAGAGAGATAGCATGAGAGAAGGACCATGCTATGTTACCAGTCGTGGGTCAGGTGTTCAAGAGCCTAAGTATAAGGTCCTAGCAGTACAGAACTTCAGAGCGGTCAAATTGCGCAAGATTGTTTAGTATGAGCAAACAGAATGGATTGCACAAGGTTTACAAAAATAATGCAAGAGCAACTCTCCTATAGAGCTGGGTCCAGGGGAAAGGGAACTAACTCAATTGTATGTACTGCAGTCATTTTATCATAGCATGTGAAGGTCCAGAATGCATAGGCAAGAATTGTAGCATAGTAAGTGAGCGTGCAACAAGTCTATAGGTAATAAGACATCATGTGCTGCAGGATGTGAGTAACATGTAATAAGACCTGCAGCTCATTTAGCAATGATATTTGGGGAAAATAACACACCAGTGGAGATAGGTGGACATGGATAGGACATGGGAGCACGGGTCGCAGGAGGAGTGTGCACCTATTGTCAAAGGAGCATACTAAAAGTGGATGAGTCAATATATATGGATTTAATAATCAGCACTTTATCTCCTTTCCTGGGAGTGAGAAGAACCATGCTAGTAATTATACATGCCTAGTACCAGTATGATCATCACAACACTATATCACTCAACCTCACTCAAATTTGAGTGTGTTTTTTGTGCACCCTTTTTCTTATGGTCCTACTCTTGTGATGTTTTTTTAAGTGCATCTGTCTCATTTTAGCTATATATTTGGTGAGTATTTGTCATATCCCACAATCCAGACTCACATTTCATAATATTCCCACACCTTCCAAGCCTATGTCCAGACCCCATATCCGACTCATTGCCAGATCCCCTTCCACTGTGTGCTCCACACCTCAGTAGGATCAACTCCATTCCAGATTTACCCCTGAGCTCCAGACCTCCAGATCCTCACTACTAGCCTGATCCATACCACCCTATCCTGTCCACCCTATGCACACTCCATCCAGCAAGACATCTGAACTTCACCTTGTCTCAGATTCAGGACTATATCCACCTCATCATATCCCAGTCCTGTATCCACCTCACCTTCCAGATCCTCAGATTACCCTTTGCCCAGCTTGGCCTATGCATGATTCCTTTACATATATAAACCCTAGTTACCACTTGTACTTTTCTCTAACTTGAATCTACTCAGTTCTCTCTGATACTCGAACTCTAGCTCCTTGGGAAGGAGGCTAGTCTGTGTCCCATTTGAACTCTAGATCCTGTGGGAGTCTAGATGATCATTCCTGAGGGAGGCATTGACTCAATAAGGTTCTATCCTTAGTCAACTCTGATCTTTGATTCCTTTATTGGAATGACTCTATCTGAGTTCATAACACAGACCATGTCTGCAAGCCTGACTCATATACGAGCAGACCACCTGCAAGCTGAGAGAGAGCTCCAACTTCAAGCTCAAGGTGAGTGTACAAATCACTCTTTTTTCATTCTTACAGCAATGTATGAGCAGATCAATGTTGCACACAGCAGGCTGTCCTTGCTGTGGAGGCTTTGCTGGAAGCTGGGTCGACTTTCAATGCAATGAACCAGTTTTATGATGGTGAAGTGTTGATGCAGCATTCAGACAGCAGTGATGGTGATATGGATGGTGTAGCAGCATGGACTTCCCTTTCTTCAGCCCTTACGCTGTATTCCATAGCAATTACATGTGCTCTGTACTAATAATGCTAATGACTACTCATTACCCCAATCATCCCCTTCATTCTTGTCACTCTCACTGCTACTCTCAACAATGGTAGCACTCTTTTCTACTGTCTTGGTGTGCTTCTTCTGTTATGAACTCGGATAGAGTGTCATTCCAATAAAGGAATCAAAATCAAAGTCAATCAAGGACTGTGCCTTATCGAGTTAACACCTCCCACAGGATCTAGAGTTCAAATGGGACAGTGGCTAGCCTCCTTCCCAAGGAGCTAGAGTTCGAGTATCAAGGAGAACCAAGTAGATTCAAGTTAGAGAAAATACAAGCAGTAACTAGGGTTTATATACATAAAGGAATTGTGCACAGACCAAGCTGGGTGAAGGGTAGTAAGTACTCAGAAAGGAAGGTTCATGGGAAAAAAGAGTATGAGTCAGAGATAAGAGAGACCATGAGGGAACAGCACAGTGAAAAGGAAGCATCAGAAGTACAGCCATAAGGTGTCTGCAGTGATGATGGGAAAAAGAGTGGGGCACTGTAACATTACCCCCCAGTCAATGTCTGAAGTCACTGACTTCAATCACTAAGAGACTGATAGTTGTTAGGGTTGAAGTCAGCATCTCTCACAAACTGCTTCTCATGCTCCTCTTGTTCAAGATCTTTTCTATCTTCATAGATCTTAAGCTGGTGATGGAAGGCCCAAGAGCCAGGCTTGGCATTAATGATGCATCGTCCTCTAAGAGTAGGACAATAGGCAGTGAGGTGCTTCAGGGCATGGTGATGGCATTCTCAGCAAAAGTAGCGAGGGCAGTGGACCTGATGATGTCCTTCCTGCTGGCAGTATTGACAAGTGATGGTAGAGTAGTCAACACCATTTTGGTCATGATAGGTTTCCTCAGATGGGGGATGAGAGTCGGAGGAGGATATGGGCTTGTCTTCATCAATGATGATGGGCAGAGCAGGAGATGGTGTAATGGGGTGAGATAGGCCTATTCCGAAGGTGATGGTGTTTCTTTTCTTACCACAAGCATGGTGTGGGTTTCCTGCAGAGTGTACTGTGAGCTGAGAGGGAGCAGGGATGGGGGTGTCATCATCAGAAGATTCCAATGGGGATCTGGGTACTTCTTGGGTGGTGAAGTGAAGGGGTTTGACTGAGATGGAGCATTCTAGTTTCACAATCTCAGAGATCATTTCTGGGGTGAGTGCTTGCTTGAACCCTCAATCTAAGAGTTGCTCAGTGGTGAGGGACTTAATCTTGGTCACATGATAAATGATGGAATGCTTGGTGGTTTCTTCAGCAGGGGCTGCAATGGTATGGGTGTAACTAGACACCAGGTCTGCACTGCAATGGATGGTCATCAAAGAAAGAGAAATGATGTCTTCAGAAAAGAAAAGATCTAAAGGTAAAACACAAGGAAGGGAAGAAAGGGTTGATTCAACAAGAGCTTGCTTGTGGTGAAGTTTGAGCTGAGAGCAATGGAGTTCAAGAGAAGAGTTTGAAGATTGTGAAGAAGGCATATTCTGGGATCAGGTTTCTAGGTAAAGAGTCAAGAGAGTTGAAGGTGGTCTTTATAGGTTTTCAGGATTTCCTGGGTGTTGTCTAGTTCCTTTTCAGAGAGCCAGGAATTATCTGAAGAAGGGTAACCCTTCCATGATACAAGGAAGCATCATTTTCCTTTTATGTTTCCCTTATGGGCGAGAATGGCTTCTATCTCATATTCTTCTCATCCATTGATGATGTCAGGGGGAGGTTTGGTGTGGTTCAGGCCATGGACTTCTGTTTCCTGATAGGAGGATAACTCAGAAGTGTGAAAGATGGGGTGTGATTTCCAAGAGGCAGGGAGTTGGATCTTGAATGTGATAGGGGAAAGGATGGCTTCTACTGTGAAAAGGCCGTAGCATTTAGGGGCAAGCTTCTTTGAGGGTAGTCTGGTGATAAGGTTCTTTGCTGATAACCAAACTTTCTCACCAATCTTCCAGGGTTCAAACTTCTTTCCAAAAGTCTGATCAGACATGCATTGCATGGCAAGATTGTGACAAGAAATGGCTTCTTCTCTGATCTTCTGAAGGTATTTGACTCAATCTTCTGCTGCAGGGATGGTAGAGTTCAGGAGAATGTAAGGGATTCCTCAGGGTTCATAACCCATCATGAGGTGAAAAGGGAAGACATTGTGGGCATCATGCTTTCAGTGGTTGTGGACAAATTCAGCCATGGGCAGATGTTTTACCCAATTGAGAGGTGTAAAGCAGCAGTAGATGTGGAGATAGGTTTTGAGTTCCTGATTCAGATGTTCAGTCTGTCCATCAGTTTGCGGGTGATAGGCGGTGGAAAGTGTGACTTCATAGTCAAGGAGTCTTCCAAGTTCTTTGGCAAATTTAGAGGTGAACTGGGGTCCTCTGTCAGAAATGATCTTGTCATAGAGTCCAAATCTAAGAAAGACTTTCTTGAAAAAGAGTTGGGTGACTCCTTCTGACGTAATGGTTTTCTTGCATGGTGAGAGAATTACCCCCTTCATAAGGCCATGGTCTACCATGACCATAACCAAATAAAAACCACCTGATTCAGGTAAGTCAGTGATCAGATTGACAGAGATCTGTGAGAAGGGGCGAAGTGTGGAGGAAGGGATAGGGTTCAAGGGTGGTGTGGAGGGATGAGTGTCAGATTTCATTTGCTGACATAGTGTGCAACCCTCAACATATTTGCAGATAAAAGT